ATCCGGCGAGGTTTGACCCGGTGATGTATACGACATGGCGCAAGCAGGAGCTGTAACAGTAACATAGTAACAGTGGCAATATATTCTTTGGAATTGTGACAAGCTGCGCAAATAAATCCATGTGATGAATAGATGAGAGCTGTTTGAATTCTCCTCCTCCGTGCTTTTGCAGCACAAATAGTTTCTCCTCATCTTTAGAAGCCTGTTTGAGCTTTTTTTGTTTGGCACAGTGCTCGGTGCTTATTAGCTTTACATAAATGTAAATATGGAGCATAAAGTGTCGTATTCCATGTTTGAAAAGGGCTAGAGAAGGTTGGAGTGATTAAGATTTGTCATAGATGTTCTGTAAAACAAGTCATAGGTGGAAAAAGAGCCAGAAGTACACTGATTATGTTTTGGATGTGTTTCTAAACCAACTTCTGCTCCATGTGCCTCATGACCTTTTTTTCTTTTTTCCTCCGTAGCACCCAGAGCCTGTTTACCAAGTGACTCCAGTAGTGTGTGAGTTCCTCAGCTGCTGAGCAACAGCTTATTTTATGATTGAAGATAATGGGTGTGATCGAGAGGTCGACGCGCTGTGTCAGTCTGGGTCGAGTGTGTGTTTGTTTGTTGGCAGTGGGAGAATAATGGCAGTTGAGTTCAAGAAACAGAAGAAGGATTCTTCTCAGCTGGAACTGTAAAACGTCCCTTCAGCCAATCAGGGCTTGTTGCTATGTCTGCTGTGAATCTGCCCCTTTGTGTTGCAGAGTGGGAGTGGTGCACACACACACACACACACACACACACACACACACACACACACACATAGAGTGCATAATTTTGAAGAAATGTTTAGCTAATCACGTGGGAAGAAAATGGAAAAGTTTGACAGAGATCAACTCTGACACTGAGGTGCCAACCAACTTTCTGGTATTTAGTAATGGTGGCCAGTCCAAAGTTGTTGGGTGATACAATAACCTGTGTGCTAGCGGAGATTTAAAAAGAAAAAGTGCTTTGTTTTTTATTCAAGCCCTAGATCATCTCTTTCTTACTAGTTATCATGACCAGTCTTTACAGTCTTTTGGCACGGACAGCCTCTTGGCAGACTTCTCATTGCTTCCAGGGTATTTCATTTAGTAATTTCAGGCAGACAAAAACAGGAAAAGTGACCCTGCATTGATGTGTTACTTGAGTTATGAAGCATGGAAACACAGTCAATCCTTTTATTCCAACAAAGCCACCAAGAATCAGACAGAAGACAAAAGCCCTCTGATGGTTCTGCTGATACAAGAGCGACGCGTAAAAGCAAGCATGATGACATAAACAGCTTAAAAGCCAAGACAGACGGGCCTCAGTGTACAATTCAAGGGCACGGTATAGAGTAAAGGCACAGCCAGTGTTTTGTCAACATTCAGAAAGTGTGCGTATCCTCACATTATGGCTCCTTCATGGCAAGTCAAACCTCAGTGTCACATATATAAATGCATGTTTGTCGCACAAAGACACTCTTCAGTCACCGTGACAGGAATGTTTAACAAAGTGTCTTTGTTGCCTTGGGAACACTTCTTCTCCTCCCCCTTTCTTTCTGGACCGGAGTTATGATCATTCATCGCTGCTCCCTTCCAGTCTCAGGTCAGTCAGAGAGAAAGGATTGAGCTCAGGTATCTGATTTCTTTCTTGTACAAGGTGAGGTCTTGTACAAGAAAAACTGCAGCTGTTCATCCCTGCTCAGTTACTCAATTAGTTCTGGATAATCTATAGTTATTTAAAATGACAGATTTAGAGGTCCTATATTTGTAAGATAAGCTTTATAGTTTAGTATAGTTATAGGTTTATAGTTTTCAGTATTGAACACCAGCCTGTTAAAAACCAGCCGGGTCTAATTAAAAAAAGCTCTGCCTGTAAGTGTTTTCAACATGTGCCACTGAGAACACAACACTCTTGATCATGACAAGCTTACAGCTGACAAGAAAAGTTGTCAAGAGACTTCTTGGTCCTGTCAAACATGATGATGGATTATTTTTGCCAGCTATTCAGTCACATAATAAGGAATAAAGAAAAGACATGACAATAACAGTAGGTTGTGTGGGTGTGTGTTTAAGTATGTTCTTTTCTTAACCTTGACTAACTGAAGAGTAGCCAAACGTTTTTTGTCATTTTGGGTGGCGGAACATCAGATGCATCAAATCTGACAGGAAAAGTTGAACTGTGATGGGAACAGAGAGTACAGAAAACCTTGAGTATAGCAGAAATAGTTGTAGCCTGTTAATTACTGCAGGTGATTTGGCCTCCAACTAAATTCTTACATACAGCAGAAAGGGAAAAAAACATCAGCATATTGTGTTGTAAATGCTGTTGGAAGAACATATGAACTGCGGACTCCTGCTTTATCACCAACAAAACTGGAATACTTTGACAGAGTATCTGAGTACCAGTGATTTTTAGGTTGCCAAACTGTAGAGTTCAGGTATTTGGTCATTTAGAATTGGTAATGGTGTCCACAGGGTCTCTGCTGTGGAGCTTTGTGCGGAGAACATCGGGATGTGGCTCATAGGAATACATTTATGCTTGTCATAAGTAAAAAGTCATGTCTTTCTTCTTGAACCTCCTCTTGCATGTTTTTAATTATGATAAATCTGACTGTATCATTGCTTTTGATTTCAGGCTCTCCCGAAGTCTTTTGAGTTGCTGCCTCATAAAGTTATCAAATCATTGACTCTGGAAAGCTATACTTATAATGTGAAAAAAAATTGGGGGCTGAGGTGATTTATCATGGAACAAATGTCAGTGTTGTTTGCAGTTATCCCTCTTTTATAGGCTTTAAAACTACTTTTGGTAGGCTTTGCGCTTTGTTGTCCTTTGAGAAATTAAGTTTTCCCTTGATAAAAATCTTGGGCTTTATACAGGCTTCCGGGCAGAGCTTTAGAATATGTAGTTTATCTCTCTCAGCTGTTGAGCGTTATATAAGAAATAAAAAGCTGCCAAAATGTTGGTGTGTGATCGTTTTTAGGAGGAAAGAAAATTGAAAACAGTCAAAATCTAAATAGCCAGGTTAGACTCATAAAACTGCAATGTCCTTGGCACTTTGAATGGGTCCATCCACACTAGCTGTGCGCATAGAGCACATGATGGAACTGTCTGAAGAGGCAAGAGTTGAAATTCTGCACAAATGTCAGCACACAGACCACAGTCACGATTTTCCATCTTTTATTTAACTAATTTCACACCTTCACACAGAGATTAATCTAATTTGTTAGATTAAAGTAATGCCAGTTGTTGGGTAATGATGTCTGTAATTTCCAGCAGAATCGAGCACACCAAAGCGCAAGCAAAAAAAAAAACACCTCCGAGTTTGCACCGTTTCCCATTAACAACATCTGGCTGTGTGCCTGATCTGAATAGGTTTGCAGTAAGGCTGAGCCCTCTCTGTTTGATTCTCTACAGAAAGAGCTAGATATCATTGTGTGTTAAGCTGACACACCTCAGCGAGCACAGCAGACTGCTGCCTCTGCTGCACTGAAGCTGCCAGGAAATTGCCTTAATACACAGCCTTTCAGCCGTCCGGTTATCTGGAGACTGCAGGCCTCTAAAGAAATCAAATGTCTTTTGAATATCGGCTCAGAGCCTCAAAGGTTCTTGGGCTCAAAGTTATCATTTTAAGTTTGAGAAATGGCAAATATCCTCTCTTGTTTTTGCCTATGTTTTCTCGGGAAAGAGATTAACGAGTATTTACTTTAATCAGCAATAATTATTCATTTGGAGAAAAATTGATTGAGCCCCATTAGAGCGGTTAGAAATTTGCCCAGTGGCTGTGGACATAAGAACTCATTGATTTGGACAGTCTGAGCTGGCACAATGGAACTAAACTGATGGTAATACATGTACAGGTGGTGTTCTAAATATATATGAAGAAGTTCACTTGCACAATTAAATCCCCTTTCCCTTCTATCACCTGTGTCAGAGACACACACGTACGTATGGAAAAAGGTGTTTAAACGTCAATAAGGTGTTCAGACAAAAAAAAAAAAGTGATCATGGTCATACTTGTTCATCTGGATCTCCTGTGGTGTTTGCTGTGGCAGGCTTTATCATCCTATTTTGTGTATGTTGTGACATGCACAGTGACATTTTTAAAAGGAAATTATGCAAATGCTACACTTTGTGCTTTTTTTTTTTTGCTGTGCATGCGCAGATTTAAATGCATCTCCTAAAATATGCTAGATAAAGTTAAGCGGAAAGATCTTTAAAGACTTCCTGTTTGCCCTTTAAGCTAACTGTGCCTGTTTCCTCTCCGCCTGTAGCCAGCTCATCTGTCACCAACAGTTTCCTCTCATTCTCTTCCTGAACTATTTTCATGTGGTGGTTGTCTTCTTTTATGGTATTTTCTGCTGTATTGCTGGAGCTGTCAGGCTGACGTCCAGTCGTCCGGCTGTATGTGAACCTGTTAGCGTTGGGCTCTCATTTGAACCTTCCAATGGTTAGCCTTTTGTCCTCTGTAACACCGGCATACATACAGAAATACATTTCTCAATTAACATATCTCCATGTTGAACTGATGGTTAAACAAAAAATATAAAGATTTTTTATTCCTCTTTCTCCGTGGGGATGATTTTCTGCCATTTAATAAGCAAACACAAAGTTAATTTATACAGCTTTGTCATTAATGCAAGTAATCATTGTTCAAACATGATGCAGTACAAATAGCGAACACACTGGGGAAGCTGAAGGAGGTGGCCATATGGATGCTTAAGCTGCATTCAAATTAGCCGAAGGCGTGTTGGTGTGTGTGAGTGTTTGTATTTATGTCCAAACAGTACGGCAGCTTTTGCAGTAGAGAGAGGACATGGCGATCGGAGGCCGCAGCGCTGGTGTTAATGGGTCATCTTATCTGCACGTCTGTGCATCTCTCATCTCCCTCTGCCATCCCATCTGTGTCCCCGTTAAAACGGCAGCGCTGCGCAGCGTTGGATGTAAAAAATCAATCCCAGCTACATGTAATCCAAGCACAACTTGGTAACTCCATGATCAATACTACATGTAAGTGGAGCCGTACAGCAATCTGTCTGTTTTCACGGGAGATGTGGCACACACAGCGATTAAGTTACTGACATGTTTGACTTTTATTTGTTCGTGTGATAGTTCCTTGAAAGTAATGTCAACGCTAGTGTTTAGCTTTTTTTAAATCAAACTCTGAAGATTGCGCTGGTTTAGATATGCAGTGCCATGGCTGACCTCTCTGCGCCTGTCCCGGAGGCTCTTTTCCATTCCACATGACTCTATACTGATCTGCTGGCCAGCGGACGCAGAGACAGCTGAGAGGTGTGTGTGCGCGTGAGTGTTTGTATTTGCCGAACCGGCTGATCTGTAGGCGGGACTCCAGCTGTACTAGGTGCAGGCGGTCACAGATCTAATAATAAGATGCCTGAATCTTAATCTGACCTGTTACATAAGACAAGTCACACGTTAACGAGAGACAGGGGGACGATCACATGCACGGAGGGTTCCATTGTATGTTTTTGTATTTTGGCTCCATCACAATGCTTTAAGGAGTCTTATCCTAGCACTCGATGAAAACCTGGTTCTGGTTACCTCAGTGGGTTCTCAGGATGTGCAGGCAATTGCTGTGGCGCTCCTCTGACTTAATGTAAGCAAGGCAGAGGATTTTTGGTTTAAATTAAATTCAAATAAAGACTAAATGATATCATATGCTCACTGAAATGAGAAGTATTAAGAAATAAGTGAGTGCATTTTTATTTAAAAAGGTAGACAACCAGTGTTTATTCATTAATCATCAAGACAGAAAAAAGACTGAAAGGTGACTATCAAGAAATCATTGTCATTTGATTAAGAAAATCCAGTGGAAAAAAAGGGGGTTTTATGAGTTGGTAGGTGTCCTGCATCGAGTTTCGACACCAGTGGTTTCATTTTTATAGAGTCTGGAGATAAACGATGAAGCTAAAGTAGGTCTCCATTCAGGAAACTGCACATGTGCATATTTTCCACATCTTTGCCTTTTAGTGTTTCTCTGCATCCCGATCTCCTCTGAAAGTCACTTTAAGGTGTGTGTGTGTGTCAGTTTGTGTGTGTGTTGGCCTCATAAGAATGTTCTACTCAGGCACAGTGCCTTAATGAATGACAGCTCTGATCTAAGCATTTACAGGCTGGGCCCCTCAAGCACAGCTACCTTCACTGCTCCTTTGTCCTGCCCTGCACGTGTGTTTTCTGTGAAAGTTTGTTTTTTGGGGGGTTGTTTTGTAGGTTTTGGGGGGGTGACAGTGTTTTTGTTGGCTTTGTGTCTTTGTTGGCATGCAAGTGTGTTTTTGTTCATTTGCCATGTATGATGTAGCGGTGTAAGCGTGCATCCCTGGGCTTGCTTTTCCTTTAAGGGAGCAATCTGACACCCACTGTGCACACATGAATCACAGATCTGTGTGTGCTTGTGTTTCCCCTCCTCCTCTCTCCTTTGACCCTGGGCTCTGTAACTGAGTGTTACCTTTAGCCCAAATCCTGCCAGCCTCAGGAACAAGAGCCTTTTCCATGACACACTGGGAGCCTGAAACCATAGCTGCACCTAAGCCTGTCAGAGCAAACTATATCCAGTTCGTGCAGGCGAGCGATCATGTAAAGGTGGCGGACTGTGACCTTGAATGTTGACTGCAATCATATATTACCCTCGCTCTTTTCTTCTGCTCTCATTTATAATGCTGCCTGTCTCTCGCTCCCTTTGTTTAAACCCTTCTGATTCCAGCCCATAAAGAAAAGGGGATTGTCCCTGAATATAGCCTCTCCCTCTCCATCTCTTTCATCCTGCATTTATTCATCCTACAGCTGGCTCGCAGATACCCCCTCCTCCTCCCACCCCTCCTTCCTCTTGTTTTGTATTGGACTGCGTCTCTATCCACGTGCAGCAGCAGCTCAAAGGGATGTAGGAGGAGTTCCCTCAGAGGAATGTGCGTGACTGGCTGGCTGACTGTGATACGTACATGCACTTCTGCAGAGCCAGCTGACAGGGACTGGGTTATAGCTAGCCCAGCACTGGTGAGGTGTGTCCACTGTGTGTGTCTGCACTTTTGTCCATCTGCTGGCTAAATGTGTCAAAGGGAAATAATAGTGGAAGAAATTTTCCATCTAAACTTCACTCAAGATTACGTTGAGCCTGACTCAAAAAATGACATATAGCCCACTGATATGTGCCGTGAAGAGAGAAAGCTGTGATTTTTGTGTATTTATTGACCTCCTCTGGGATTGTTGGAGTTTTCTTTAAAGAGGAGCAGAAGATAAAGTGGAGACAACTGTCTGAAAATGTTCTTATTAAGAAACGAAGCTTCCATTTATAACACAAATCACAGGATTTTGTTTAGTTCAGAACAGCACGCTACAAACCCACAAGCTACAGCTGCTGTTTAGTGACATTTCACAGGCAACCAAATGCATAACGCCCTGGATCTAGCACGTCATTTAAATGTAGCTATTGGGAAATGACAGAACCCAAGTGTTAGACATAATTTGATTGTGACAGCCAGTTGATTATGTTTTTGTCAGTTGTGCCTCTTTGTGGCTGTTAATTTTAGCATAGTCAGAGGGGAATAGCCTGTTCTGAACCAGTGAAAGGTTTATTCAGCCCTATGCTGTCCTGCCAGCCCCACCCACACAGTGGCACAGGAGCCCCGAGTGGTGCAGAACACGCTCATTATTTCGGTCCTACACGTCTTCACCTATCAGCTTAAGGTTTTGCTTGTAAAAGTTTTGACTGGGATTGTGACTGATGCCATCACTCAGCATTGCCTCATGCTATATGTGTGTGTTTTTTGCACTTGTCGTGTTAAGAGAGAGAACAATCAGTGTGTCACTTCACCCCTCAGCTCAGCTGACATGGAAGGTCTAAATATATTCCTTTGAAGCTGCCAAACTGGAAAAGTTGTGTCATCCATTGCCTCTCCCCACACCCCTTCTCTAAGCAGGCCTGTTCAGCCACAGTTAAATGTCCATGTCCACAAAGATATGCATGCACGCATCATCACAACACAGGGGGCTGTCCACTGTTACTGGGCCATTCTTACTGCCCCAGGATCAGGCTCAGAATAGGCTCATTAATAGCTGTGTTATTTCCTCCAACTGTCTGCTTGTGTGCTGTTGGTTTCTACTCACAATATGTTGACCATCTGCTTCTTTGTCTTCCATAGACGCAACAGAGGAGTTTTTTGAGTATGATGCCGAGGAGTTCCTGGTGCTCCTAACCCTGCTCATCACAGAGGGAAGGACACCGGAATACTCTGTGAAGGGCAGGACTGAGGGGCTTCACTGTCCACCAGCCCAGTCAGCCATGCCTCCTTTTCACAAACACGAATGCAGCGACAAACTGCCCCAGGTGCCACACCTTTTTAAATAGAAGTCCTCCTCTCCATTTTGAATTCATTTTAATACTGCATGTAAGAACAAAGAAAAGCATCTGCTTCCTCGGCCTTGCCTGTAAATATCAAATTCTGCCTGACATTTGCTGATCATCACTAACCTGTGTGTGTGTGTGTGTGGGTCTGTGTGTGTGTCCAGTGTCGGCAAGCAAGACGAACTCGTTCAGAAGTCATCCTGCTTTGGAAAAACAGCATCCCCATCATGATCGAGGTCATGCTTTTGCCAGACTGTTGCTATGGTGATGAATGCCCCCCAAGTGACCCCATCAGTGACCCGGTCATCAAACAAGATGCTCTGCTGCTGGAGAGGTGGACCCTGCAGCCAGTACCAAGACAGTAAGGCACACACAAGCACCAACTTTTATTGTTTTTCTTTAACATTTTACATATTGATAGGTCAGGAACTTTAGTGAGGAAGTAATATGCGCTGCAAGATATATCTAGATTATTAAGATCATGCCTAGCTACGACAAGTCCTACACGGTGTGTTGTATTTCCATGTTTTCTACCCACTACCCTGATCAGTGGCTGGGTAAATTTTGCTGGTTGCCTAACCAAAGCTTTTACATAACCTGCTTACTTTGAGATTAGAATGTGTTCATGCAGTTTGATTTTAAGCACAAAGACGTCTTTGTGGGACTGGCTTTAGTCAATAAAAACGATCTCCAAATGTAGAATTTCACATAAATTAATTCATATATTTTTGCCATTTGGACAAGAACCCAAAAAAGTCATGAGTAGTCTGAACTGAATCATCCAGAACATGCCCATCCTGGTGGGCCAGTACAAAGTGAGAGTCTGAGTGTCGCAGTATACGGGTCTTAGGTAATAATACAAAATAATTAGCACGTCTAAGTATAATATCTAGAGAAATTGCACACCAGTCAGCAACAGTACAAAAACAAACAATCACATGTTATTCAGTTTCCCTATTTGACACCAAATGAGCTCTGACTGTCAAGGCATGGATTCAGGACCTAAAGTTTTCACGCTGTATCTGCAGCCAGGATGTTGGCAGCAGATCCCCTGGGTGGTGCTTCACTGGAGGGGTCTTGATCCTGTGCATCCTTCTGAGTTTTGATTGGATTGGGACCTGGGGAGTAAGGATGCCAAGTCAGAGCCTTGGACTCTTTGTCATGTTCCTTGAGGCGTTCATGAGCAGTTTTTGTTGTGTGGTGAAGCGTAAAGGTCCTGCTGTGAGGGGCTGCTGCTGTCAGGGGGAACCCTTGCCATGGGCTGTCCTTTATTCGTAACAACGTTAGGATGGCTGGTACCTGTGAAATGAGTGTAACACAAATGCCAGGAGTCAAGTTGTCCCAGCAGAAAATAGCATTTAAATTTTTTGCTGGCAATAAAAATGGAATGAAACTTAACATGACCCTTCGTCTTGTTATCGATACTAGATTCAATATTATCTCCTGTCGTCTGATCGTTTTCACTGACTTACACTCCCATTAAAAAAAAATATATATATATATATATATATAAATGCATGTTATTATTGTGAAATGGGTTCTCCTTTTTCTCTAATTTTTGTTGTTTTGCCTGTTACTATAACATGTTTACCATTGTACAATGAAAATAAGCTGAAAGATATCAGTTTATTGATCAAAATGTTACTCCTTTGGCTTTTCTTTATCTGTAAAAGCTTATGTCTTAATAATGTCCTGTGTGTATGTACTTCATACATTGCAGTTCATTTTTCTGGATTAAAATGAAAAAGCCCAAAATGGGGAAAAAACAACGAAATATCTATTTTAAAAAAAATCGAATATAGAATGATGATAGCAACCTTTTTATGTTTTGAGCGCAGCACTCTGGGGGTTAATTGGTGTGACATGTTGGCCTACTTTCCCACTCGCACGTGTACAAACAGGGAACACTGAAAAATATCAAACATCCCCTGACTATTTGCTCATTAACCTGACATACTGGCACACTTCCATCTCCTTTTATCTGTGTTTTTTCCATTTTTATAGAAGTGGTGATCGTTTCATTGAGGAGAAAACCCTGCTATTGGCTGTTCGTTCCTACGTCTTCTTCTCTCAGCTCAGCGCCTGGCTCAGTGCCTCCCATGGCATCGTCCCCAGAAACATCCTGTACAGGTCAGATTTAACACTCACTGACACCAGTGGGCTCAAGCCTTTTTGGTCATGCTGTCAGATTAGTGTTAAAGCCCCATTAACCCAGCAAATGTTATGCTTGTTTGAGTTGTTTTTGCAGGTCGAAATGTTGTGTGATCTTTAGTTTTTTAAATCCAATTACAGCGCTGTCACTTTTTCCAGTTTTAAAATGTGAAAGAGTTGCTACCTGTTTTTTTTTTGTTTTTTTTTACTGACCATGTCTTTTGCTGTCCAACAGGATCAGTGCTGCTGATGATGATCTGGTATGGCAGTTTTCTCAGCCTCCATCAGAGCACATTTTCCCTGTTCCTAATGTATCCCAGAGTGTTGCACTGCAGGTTCGTGTTCAGTCGCTCCCTAGACAACCCACCTATCCCACATTGGCCTGCAGCATCCATACCGGCCTGCCTCCACTGTACAGCAAGACACCCAGCCTCAGTCCAAACTTCAACAGCCATGGTGGCTTGCCCACCCTAAAAAAGAGCCAGGAGCCCAGCCAAGAAAACCTCCATCACAATTCTAACATGTACAGCAAGTCCTCTAACTCCAGATCTGGCCCACTCAACAATGGCCTGCCCGTCCCTACCTTACCCATCAACAACATCCCCATTAACAGCCTTCCTCACACCGCTGTGTCCCATCCATACCTCAAAAAGGGTCCAGAGTCTGGTGAAAACCACTCCTATCAGAATGGAGAGCTTCCACAGGTTGGCCTCCCCCAGCGTCAGGGCTCACCGTTGTTCCACAAGCCACTTCAGTCCCCAACACCCTCCCGCGCAAGCTCTCCCTCCCAACTTTCCACAAGTAAAGCTGGGAAGTGGTTGTACTCATCCCTCAATGGTTCATCTGATTCCACGCAAGTGGATGACTATGGTTCTGGTACCAACACCAGTGAAAAGTCCAAGAGTCACATCCATGAGCCTCTGAGAGCTTTCAAGCATTTGTCCATGGCCGAGCCCCCGCGCTGCCCCTCCCCACGGCCTGCTGCTACTGAGACTAACCCCTTGATTGGCTCCCTGCTGCAGGAGAGACAGGAAGTTATCGCCCGCATTGCACAAAGGCTCAACTTCTGTGACCCGACTGCTCCGCCGCTCCCTCCCGGCCTGTTTGCTTCTGACAACCCTCCCAAAGCCATGTGGGGCAGTACGCACGACACTATAGCTGCCACTAAGACCAAAGAGCCCGAGATTCCACCTTATGAGACCGTGGGACGCGTTTGGCCCGCCCCGTTCAACACACCCGTAACCGAGACTTCTTTCGTCAAACGAGAGAGTTCCTCCCCTAAACCTGCAGCCTGCAGGAAACTGAAAATGACTGAGACAAGAGTGAAAGAGGAGGAGAGGAATGGGGAGAAGCAAAGAGACAGGGAGAGGGAGAAAGATAAGGAAAAGGAGAGAGACAGCTCCCTCATTGCCCAGGCCGTGCAGGACATCACCAGGCTCATCCAGGAGAGACTGTCCGTCCCCTCTTTGTCCCCAAGGCACAGCAGCAGTGGCAGCACTCTGCACCACATGCACACCACCACAGTCACACACACCGTCCGCACATACACACACCCTGCACACATCCCCGAAGCATCACACACTGCCAGCAATGGCTACGCCAATGGCCACGCACCCAGCCACCAACCTCAGAGAGGCAGCGCACACAACGCCGCCCCAAACATGCCCTTTTGCACAGAGAAGCCCCGAGTCGGACCCAGGACCGAATGCCATTCTGCCTGGGCCCAAAATGGTGCTGAGTTTACACTTGAAGAACCCTCAATAAATGGCCAGTTCCACGCCCAGGCTGGTCAGCGTTTACGAGCTTTTCCAAAGGAGAAGCTCCAAGTCAGGACACCCTGCAGCCATGAACCCCCCCATGCCTCCCCTGACCTTGAGAACAATCCAAGGAATGCCCAGTTACTTAGCTGGAATTACGATGATGCCAGCCCAGCCACGAACTGTAACAGAAGCCAGGACCACAGGAAGCCTCAGCCTCAGGCCCAGACGCAGCCAGCACAGGCTCCTGCCCTCCAGGATGAAAATCAGGCCCCCCCACAATCGGGACGCTTCAGCACTTTGACTACAGACAAGACTCCATCGCCTACTGTCCTCGTGAGTCTTTTTTTTGTCCTTTTTTTATTTATATGATGTTTTATGTCTGTGCATTTGGTCCAAATCATCATATTTACACATCAGCTTATGAGTGTGTTAAACGATGTTCCAGATCGTAGTAAAAATATACACTGAGAACTGTGAATGATTTCCCCTTTAATTTCAAGCTGTTTTAATCTCTCCATATCTGCAACTCAGCGTCCCCAAAGCCCCTCCCCTCTGCGTCCGTGCAACAGCTGGAAGAAACAGAATCGCCACTCATTAGATGCCACAGCTACCAAGGCCTTCCACCCCTGCACTGGCCTGCCTCTGCTCTCCAGCCCTGTAAGCAACACGCATAAACACCATTTAAAGAATTAACATTTCCAGATTCACAGAGTTCCATTAACATGCAACAACACGTGCCCAGTCGAACACCTGATGTATTATCCATGATTGGTAGTCGCTGTGTGTGTCAATGCAGTTGTGTTCGTCATTCCTTTTACCCCGAACCATGTGAAGCAGATCTCCCAGAATTTACAACAATGAAACCTTTGTGAATGTTAGTCATTAGGAGACGGAAAAATCTGCTCTGCTGTGAATCGCTGTCGGGCTGCAGAGTAGTTATACACCGTTAATGCACACACAGATACACACGCACACAACAGGATGAAAGGCATGTGACTCATTTCCACCTCATCAGCCACATTAAACCATGGCAGCGATATTCGATATTATCTCCTGTCGTCTGATCATGTTCACTCACTCATAACCTGCAGTGCAGACACACTCCCATAAAAAAGAAAGAGTATAGTTGCACGTTAATATATTCTCATTTTCCTTTTTACCATTTCACAATACAGATTGTGAAGCTGTAAGATACAGATAAGCTTTAAGATATCAGTTTAATGATCAAAGTCGTACTTCTTTGGCTTTTCTTTGTCCGTAAAAGCTCTCGTCTTAATAATGTTCTGTGTGTGTGCTGCAGGTTCCTCAGAGGAAGAATCAAACAGGTTACTTTGACCTGGACACCTCTCTGACTGGCTGTAAGGGTTTGCCTTGGGCCTCTGGGAAAAGGTACTCATTTTCTCACCCGGGAGCTCTGTGACTGTAGTTGCAAAAGTCTAAGGTCAGGTTACTTTCAGTTGTCGACTGAGGATATTTTCTTCCACTGACAAACAGTTTCTCCCCACATTAGCTGTTTTCTTTAGCTGTCTTGGATATTCATACTAATTTCCCAATTTGATCTGACTTTCACTGCGTCTCAGCATCATGTGAAAGTCTAGATTAGATGAGAGGTCTGCCACGGTTTGCCGTGGGAACCTCAAGGAGCAATTGGTCAGACACAGTGGAGAACAGGGGTAAATCAGTTACAGCGCTTAATTGTAAAACACTACATTTCCTATAGGAGCAAAGAGAGCTCAGCATCTTCAAGTATAAATCCATTAAGAAACTGCTACTGTGTACTGTTTTTAGAAGCAATGGAGCGAACAAAAAGCTGCCTGGGTTAGAATAAAAATAGAATAAAAATATATAGCCATTTTATTCTTTGCACAGCACAAGTAAAGAATCCTTTTACAACAAATCTCTCACAAAGCTTTTCAGAAGATGTCGTTTTCAGCTATTATTTTTCTTCAGTTGCATAGGATAACATATGTAGGAGGTGAAAATTCAAATATCATAGCATTTAATGAACAGTGTAAACTCCTCTGTGTGTGTGTGTGTGATCTGTTAAGGGAATGCCATGTTATCCTCAGTCAGCTAAAGCTCTGCTGCAACGTGACTGCATCTACAATCACACACATTCAGCTGGAAATGGCAGTCAGAACTGAGTTGGCTTTATATCCTCCCAGATTTATGCCTCTGCCTACACACGGCAGATGTGGGTGGAAGCTCACTGCCGCTCTGCATTAAGCAGATGTTTGAGGAGTGTAGCGGTATAGGTTGGATGTTAATTTCGATCGTCTGACTATATCCTGACTGATTAGTTAGTAGCTGTTATTTGAGACCTGACCCATACGCCTGCATTTCTGTTTGTTTTTTGGGTAATCTTCCTGTTTGCAAACAAATACAGGTATTTATTCAGCCACTTATTGAGCAAGTTCTTCTACTTAGAAAAATGAGAGAGGTTTATAATTTTAATTATAGGTTCGCAGGAAATCACATTGAAGGATTTTTTAAAATAATTTATTTGTAAATTGTGGTGGAAAATAAGTATGATAATGATCCCAATCACACCGCTCGGGTACTGAAGGAGTGGCTCCGGAGAAAGCATTTCAAGGTCCGGGAGAGGCCTAGCCACTCTCCACACCTCTGGCCTATAGAAAATTTGTGTAGGAAGTTGAGAGTCCGTGTTGCTCAGTAACAGCCCCAAAACATGAGTGCTGTAGAGAAGATCTGCAAGGAGGAAAAGGCCAAAACACCAATTACAGTGTGTGTAAACCTGGTGAAGACTTACAGGAAACCCACATCTCTGTCATTGCTAACAAAGGTTATGTTAAGAAATATTGAGCTGAACTTTTGTCATTGACCAAATACTAATTTTCCACCCTAATTTAGAATTTAATTCTTTAAAAATCCTACAGATGTGATTTCCTGGATTTTGTTGATTTATTTCTCATTTTACCTCTTATAATTGAAGTGTAACAACAATGAGAATTACAGACCTCTCATCTTTCTTAGTAGGAGATCTTGCACAGTGACTGACTAAATACCTTTTATCCCCGCTGTAAGTAATATCAGCGACTGAGGTTTGTACAGAGACACCAGGAATGTTTGCACTGAAACACCTGAAGATGTTATTGGAACATTTCTCAGAAAACAAGTTGATCAGGCATGTTTGGTTCATCCCTTCAGGGTGTGTCTAAAGAGAGAGGGGTACACGGATGAGCAGCAGCTGTTCAGCGCCAGCGCTCCACCTGCCAGTCTCAGTCTGCTGGGAAACTTTGAGGTAGAACACATCATCTGTCTTCCTCAGTCAAATGTTACAGTGGTGGCTCACATTCACTTGCTTGGTTTCCCGTCCAGGGAAAATAATAATAGTGCTCCTGAACTTGTACAGTTTTAAACCTTAAATATTTGTTCGGGTGTGATAAATGTTGTGATATTGAACTCTGCTTCATTAGGAGTGTGTGCTGAACTACCGCCTAGAGCCTTTGGGGACAATTGAAGGTTTCACAGCTGAGGTGGGAGCCAGCGGCTCCTTCTGCCCCAGTCACCTTACCATACCTGTGGATGTGTCCTTCTACAGTGTCTCTGATGACAATGCTCCCTCCCCGTATATGGTACGGTCAAGCTTTCACTGTCATAGATCTGAATGCCTCTTTGTATAATTATTTCAAATGCTCTATATGGTTGCGCATCCGGACGGGTTTCAGTGTGTGTGCCCTTTCCGTTGGCGTGTTTCTCAATGCAAATTATGTTTTCTCTCAGGGTGTGATAAACCTGGAGTCCCTGGGAAAAAGGGGCTACCGTGTACCTCCATCAGGAACCATTCAAGTGGTGAGGATTTATTTTGTCTGTTGAATGAATGTCAGAATATTTCTGTTCAAGTGTCTGTTTTTCTGCTCACACTTGGCAGAGAACAAAGAGCAGATTGCCTCATGGTAACATGAAATAGGAGACCCCTAGTGGTTACTATGGGAAATTCCCTCTGTGACAAGAAAATTTGTATTATTTATGTATAAACCTCATTATTTTTTAATTAGAAAAGGGATTTTCCTCTGTGTGCTCTAAGTCAACATTTGGGTTAGTGGCTACATCGTATGGTCCATTGTGGGGCTCTCATGGGAAATTTGGTAATTAGCGTTCAGCTAACTCGGATCAGAAATAGTCAGTCTAAACCCTGCTGCTTTCTCCTCTCCAATCCAGACCTTATTCAACCCGAACAAGACGGTTGTAAAGATGTTTGTTGTGATGTACGACCTACGAGCTATGCCAGCTGGACACCAGACTTTCCTACGCCAGAGAACCTTCTCTGTTCCTGTTCGCCGTGACACAAACAATCAGACCAGCAGGAGGCCCCTCAGCCTGGGCCAAGGCCGCACCCTGCGCTACCTCGTTCACCTGAGGTGAGAGGGCCGGGTTTTTTTTGTCGTCAGAATTGTACCTGGCCGTGGTGGAATTTCTCCATCTTTATTGATTTAATATTGGTTCAGGTTCCAGAGCTCCAAGTCTGGGAAGATCTACCTCCACAGGGACATCCGCCTGCTGTTCTCAAGGAAGTCCATGGAGGTGGACAGCGGTGCTGCCTATGAGCTGCAATCCTTCACGGAGTCCCCCATGGACCCACCGTTCTCTCCCCGCTGTTGAAGCCCGACGAACTCTCTCCTCACCATCTGGCCGGCTGCTGCTGGAGCTTCACTCACACCACGATACCAGCGACAGGCTCTTTCTCAGCTCACAGAAGAAAAGAGACAAAGTTAAAGCCCATTCTGGACCGTGTCCAGAAACTAAAGTTCCATCCCTTTGGCCACCCAAAACTGAGAAGGGCTTTGACTAAGAGACTGAAAGACTTGTCAGAAATACACCATGTCCTCTGTTAAGCGTGCAGCCTTAGAACAGAGAGGTTCGCTCATCAGTGACAGTCATAGGAAGAGTGTGACATCTTGTTATCCTTGTCAAGATGTTCTTACTAGATTTGGTCGATCATTTGTTCCTTGCTGTTGTGTGTATTACCTCCAGCGTCTGGCAGGAGAGTCGATACAAGTGATCTTTGTCCAGAGAAGCAGTTACAGTTGAAATGTGTTCAACAGAGCTCAGGCCATTTTACCCAGCTGGCGCAAATCAAAATAGTAATTGGACCTTAGAATTGTGAAATCTCTTATGTTCTTTCTAAATCAAAATGATACGATTTTAATGGTAAGGCTCCAGTTTTCTTCCAACGTTAGACTTGACTTCTGAACTTAAACTCAGTTGCATGACCAGAGGAGTCCTGAGCTTGGAGCTGGGGGAGTTCACATGGAAGTGGAGGTGGGCGGCAGACTGCGGTGCAACACTTACCATGGACCACTGAGTCGAACAAGCAATCACGATAGTCACATGAAGGCATCACAGCAGAACAATAAAAGTGCACTGTGGATTTTTTTTTCCTCATTATAACTGGAAATGAAACAGAAAATAGTCATATTCTAATACTTTTGTACTGTTACAAAACCACTTTATTGAAAGTGTTGCAATAGAAAGAGTAACATTAGTTTAGTGTTTACATGTTCACCTTCGGTTTACTACATCAGTTTATTTAATATTTAAAATAATATTTCAGTTACTTGTGACGTCTGTCATGCTAAGATGATGTAGTGCAAACTGTATATCATAGTATGTATTTTTGACATTAATATTCAAATCTGAAAAAAAATATATCTATATATCTTCTAAAGCAATCTTGAAAATCTGCTCTGTCTCCTTGTGGGTTTTTCACTGAGTTTTCAGGTTTTGCTGCATCTCATTAGGAGAAATTAAATGACTCTGATTTTAGACGTACAAAATACTTTGCAAATAACTGTATTTACACTGACGAGGCCTGCAAAGGTGTGAATGGGTAATTGAGAACGGCAGCGTCATTTTCACACTCTTCACAATTTCCAGGGATGATGTGTGGGTGTGTGACAGCTGATTTTCTGCAGATGGCCTCCATTTGATCCCTGGCCAAGAAGTGGATTAACGGTTAAACAAAACAAAACTACAGACACTTGCACTTTGGATCCAGCACTGGCAGATTGTTTTTCCATATTTATCTAGCACCAATGACATTTAGTGTTGCGTGAATCAATATTATAAGAACAGGAAAGAACATAGCAGCTATCTATTAGAAAAATAAACCTAAATGACCCGGCTTTCAGTGATTCAGTGTCCCTGAGGCAGAACAGGCTGAACTGGCACAGAAAATGGACTGAGGGTCACTTGTCTGTTACAGGGCCAGAGATAAACAACTGCACGCAATCTCAAAATCACTCTTAGGGGTTGTGTGTTTTTGGGCTATGGGAAGGAGGTGAAGGGCCCAGAGACGATAGCATGAAGATCCACACTGGAAGGCCCCGGCTGGGATTTGAACCACTATGTGCCCACTGACCAACCAAGCTGCCCTGAAAAGGAATTATGTTCTCTTTAAGTTCTAAGGTTTCCCTTATCAGATTACAATCACATAAAAAAACTGGTTCTTAAAACTGAAATCAGACATTGCAAAAAGCTTTATTCCAGAATATGCTGGTATAGGTGAGCATGGTAACTTGGGAAGTTCATTACAGTGCAATTACAAAATGACTGGACAAGAATGGATTGTTACTAACATTGAAATCTTATTCTTGTCAATCAACAACTCATCTGAGCAACAACGTATTCCAGAGTGTTGAATAGGAGGACAAATAACGGCTAAAGATCAGTGGAAACTGGGCCATCAATAGGCCAATATTCCCAAATGTGGCAACACAATTCTACAACAGAACATCTTAAAATCAAGTATCAAGCTTATGTAATAGCCCAGTCAAAGTCTAGACCAGCGCCTGTTTGAAGGGCTATGATAGGGTTGTGCACAAATAAAAAAATTAAGGTTGTTGCTCAGTTTGTTGAACAAAAAAATAACAATGTGTAACATGGCATGTGTTACTGTTTAAAGAAGGGTGCGTTTACTCAGTTGTAAGACCAGGAGAGGACACGACTTGTTTTTTCCTATGCCCATACTTAAAACATTAGAATTTAGAGGTTTTAACTAAGATAAAAGCGTGCAAAACTGTACAAAAAGAGCACATGTATGAAAGAAATATATTTTTTTTTAAATATGTAACATTACAGCTGATACCAGTACTGACTGAAAAAAGCAGCTGTTGCTCTAATAACAACAGAATATACATTTGTAAAACATTTGCTTTTAATCATGGGGAAAGGAGAACTCTAAAACAAAATATTTATGCAAAATATCAGAATATCTTTTTTCATATATTGTAAGAAGAAGCATGGTCAGCTATATACCAATTAATACAGCCCTGAGTCTGCGAAAGGAAAGCCTTGGAACTGAGCTGCCTGTCTTAATCAGCGCACCAGCCTCCATGTCCGGGGATTAATGTCTAAAGTAAGGATTTTGAGGCAGCACATGGGTCTAACAGCTGATCGGTTTCACGTTACGCAACGTAAATCCTAACGCAGTGGGCTGGGCGCGTGCACGGCTCCGGTGCCCCGGCGGGAGCGCGCGTGGTGTCTCCGCAAGTGACGTCGGATTTTTTTTTTGTGCGGGAGCAGTTCTCGTGTGGGGTACGGGAAGTCAGAGCAGCAGATTTGAGGATCACTGGTCCTGCTGGTGACCACCTCCAAGACCGAGATTATAGCCACTGGAAGAGATGTCGGGGGATAACGAAGAGACACAGACCGCCGAGGAGACCCCGGTGGAAGACACGGTAACTGTGCGGCGGGTTAGCGCTGTAGCAGCAGCAGCCGTAGCGGCGCTGACATTTTTTCCTGCCACCGCTCCCGTGTGGGTTTAGCTTCTTCGACCCGCGCTCGTCATTGTTGACATACCAACCAAAGCTAGCAACCGAACACCGATTTCAACACCTAATGTTGTACCACACGTCCCGCCACGGCATTACCGGGGCAGTCAGTTGCAGGTGGCTTCATTTACTGTCCGAATGAATTTGACGTATGCTTAAAGGGAATGTCGGACTGTTAGCTGAGGTTAGCTGCGGCTAGCTGCTAACTGTCATGACATTCTCTTGCTGGCAAAAGCAACACGGTAGCTGCTAGCTCACCTGCTAGCGTTAGCTTAGCCGAACCTGACATAAATTTACACTTGACGGCTTGCTTATAAAACTGTTTAACACTGCAGTCTCGTTAAAACTGAAGCTACCACATCGGTTGTTAACAACGTTGACACTATATTGCTCACATTAACGTTGGGCCGGTCTTCATCTGCATGTTAGCTTTATAGCGTGTGTGTGTGTGTGTGGGAGGAAATACCTGAGTCTTTTTGGCTAGATGCATACATGTGTTGTATTGGACCTTTCCGGATGGCATTTATTTGGAATTTGGCGTCGATTTCACGTTGAGAATTGGCAGAGGATACATAGAATTCTTCACCAATTGATGCCCTCACTGTATTAACTATATTAATGATATAAACACAAGATTTATGATCGTTTTGTTATTACTAGCTTGATAATGTTATATCAGCCAATCTAAAATTATTACCTCAGTAATGGAAAATGTGTTAAAAACCTGTATATCTCAGTTTAAAGAAATTATTTCATATGGTTAGATTTCTACATGATTTTTTTATATTTCTACATTATTTTCCAACATTTCTCATGTGATAATACCAGAGTTATTACGTGAGATGTTCACCCTTTTTAAATAGTGCTTGAAATAAGCTGCTGTTGTGTTTGTGTTTTTGTGCCTTATTCCTCTGCTGATTTTTCAGGAGGTGGAAGATAAGGTGATTAGTCCTGAGAAGGCAGAGGAAGCCAAACTGAAGGCCAGATACCCAAATTTAGGAAATAAACCCGGGGGCTCAGATCTGCTTCGCAAACGCCTGCAGAAGGGCGTAAGTCTTTTTTTAAATATTTACGTTTCTTTAGGATTGTAATGATGTGGGAGTTAAAGGAGACTAACCACAAAAGAAAATAGTTTTTTTTTTCTATCTGCTAAACAAATACTGTAGCTCTGTAATATGCATTATTTTCTCACTTATTTGCTCTTTTTAATAATTTCTTGTTATCTCATTTTAATCTTTATTGCTTTCATTTCAACATTTCAGTGATGGTTCCCCTGTACAGATTATTAAATGACATTAAGCCTTCAGTTAGATTATCTGTCATACAAACAAAAAGGGAGTTGAAAATGTGCTTTTTAAAAAACATAAAGTTTGTTATTTATGTTATTCTCTCTATATAGTTTAATGTTTATCTTCAGAAATTAATCCCATGTTTTTTGGCAGCAAAAATACTTTGACTCCGGTGACTACAACATGGCTAAAGCGAAGATAAAGAACAAACAACTGCCGACCGCTGCGCCAGAGAAGACGGAGATCACGGGGGATCACATCCCCACCCCCCAGGACCTGCCCCAAAGGAAACCCTCTCTGGTGGCCAGCAAACTGGCAGGCTGATCCATATGCATCCTCAGGCGCCCCTGCTGCACCTCCAGGCCCCATAACCCACTCCACTCAAGTCTCAGAGCTGTAACTTTACCTCTCCCGCCCTTCATACTTGCACTCTCTCCACTCGCTCCCTGACCTCACCCAATCAGAGCCCTCTCCTAGCAGCCAGCGAACCAATGAGCCGAAAGCTTCAAATCCTCTCTGTTTTTGTTTCACCCTCGTCTGGCCCGACCTCACCAACCCCTACTGACCGCTCCTTATTTCTTTCTCTGTGTTCTCTCTCTCTCTTCCATGTAAGATACACTGTAAGACAATGTGAGTGTGGCGGATTGTATGTGAAGCCTCTGTACAGAATGTAGGGATGTTTCTGGGCTTAAGCGAGGGGTGTGCAGCAGAAGCCACAACTCGCCTGTTTTGAAGGCCTTAGGATGGCGTTCAGGGTCCCTCAATTTGGAAGTGTGTGTGTTTGTGTGTATATATTTCTCTTCATTTGGCAAGCAGGGAGGCATCAGCCTTTTAGAATGTTTGACACCAGATTCGTATTTCTCACTACACATCCTTAATCTAAGTGTCAGTACGCTTGATGGGTTCGGGAAGCACTTACCCAGAGGCCAGTTTTGTTAAGGCTTTTTAGCTAAGGTGACATATCAAACTGCATGTGTGGCACAGGTCTCCCAAAAGCAAATGTCACTGTGTTATACTTTAAGTAATTTAAAAGAAGAAGAAGAAGAAGAAAAAGCAGATATTTTAACAAAGGCTCAACAGCCATGGCGCTGTCCAGAAGCACTGTGTTACAGGTAGATGATTCATTCATGTTGGCAGAGGTTTGTTCCTGTTAAGACGGCAGTGCCGTTGCCTCAGAGTTCCACTGCATGTCCGCCCCGGCCCGGTCCCAGTTGTCACGAATGAATCATCGTATTCAGAGAGGGGTGGAGGGCTGTGTGAGACCGGAAACTCACAGAGTTTGTGAGTGGGGGACCAGTTTGTGTGTCCTATACGCCATGCAAGTGTAAATTCAAGATTTAAAAAACAAAAAAGGAAGAAATGTACCAGAAGGAAGTCATGGAATGATTAGGATAGAAAATGTCTAATTACACGTTGAAGTAGTTTAATTTTGAAATTGTCCTCAGCCCTGTGTTCTGCTTTTTAAGGGTCTGTACTGACTGGGTGTGGTTTACCTGTGATGTGGTAAATCTAAGCTAGCACTACATCTGTCTAAGCTGTGCATGTATATGGCTGCCCTGCTGTCACTATGTGCCATTTTTGTTTTGTAAATAAACTAGTTTTGCACAAATGTTTAATTGTTGTGTGACGCTGATCTTATTTTTATTTTATACATACTGCATATATTTGTGTTTAAGGTGCTCTCAAATGATGCGTAAAACCTGACACTCTCACTGTATTTGACCACTTATTGTATTTTCAAATGTTTGAGAAAATGCACATTGAAGAGAGCACATTGAAATAAGCGTTGTACTGTAACTAGAACCCCCATCCAAAGAGATTTGAATCTTTCTTTTTCCCACTTTATACATTCAGTGTTTATTAAATCCATGTCTATTTACACTCACCAGACACTTTATTCAGTGCACTTTGACATAAAATTGTCAGAGCCCCCTTTGTCCTTGGATGTGGCTTAATTGTTTGTGGTGTAGATTTAACTAAATGTTGGAAACATTCCTCTGAGATTGTTGTCCATTTTGACATAACATCGCTCACAAACTTGAATCTACCATTCCACCACGTCTCAGAGGTGCTCTGTTGTTTTGAGGTGTGACTGAGAGGGTCAAAGTCACTGTCATGGCGTTCTGCATACTTTGGATGTAACAAGTGAATATTTGAGTTGTCCTTCTATCGTCTCAAACCAGCCTGCCTTTTTCTCCTCAGACCTCTCACGCTGAGGTGTTTTCATCCAAACGGCTTCTGCTTACTGGTTTTCACACACTTTTTCTGAATACTCTCTGTAAGCCTACATATGGTTCTACATGGAAATCCCAGCAGGTCCACAGTTTAGGAAGTAACTCCTCAATCCAGCCCACCTGGTACCATCTACTACCAACTACTATGTTGAAAGTCACATAAACCTCTTTGCTTTCACCTCCTGATGCTCGGTTTTATCTTAAGCAAACCGTCCTCCCAGATGCTCCTGAGTTCCCATTTGTGATTGGCTGATTAGCATCTCAGGTGAGTGCATATAACTATGGACGGATGTTTAGATTTGTCTTAAGAGTAGAATACACAAGATATACCTTGTTAGTTTTTTTTCTTTTCTTGTAGTATGTATGTCTTTCTGAGGGGGTGGATCACAGTACAAATGTTACATTATTCTTGTCCTCTTCATGTATTTACTTTTTTCACAGTTTGAATCGCTAATAGTTCAATAACTGTTGAAGATTGTTCAGGGAGATTATTTTGTTGAGTGAAAATTAAGAAAAAATGGAAGAAATATTTATCTGAATATTTGATCAATTTGAAAGCTAAAGGTATTTTAATGAAAGAGCAGTTTTTGATTTTATATCCAAGAATATCTGAGCTCAATAAGTTAACTTGAATTGATGTAATTATTTGTGTTACAGCTCAGTAAAACTTTTAGAAATTGAATATTTTTCAAGTGTTTGGTATTGTGATTTAGAAATAAATTTAAAAAGTGCCTTTCATGTTTTCAGGTGTTTTGCCATACATGTTGAAAAAAGATATTTGACTCCCACCCCACCAAAGAAAAAAGAGTTGGAAACTCCGGGTAACTTTGTCCTATGATGTCCTAAAAATCCATTACAAAAATTCAGAAAAAGTTTAGTGTAGCTGAAGAAACATTAAGAGGCTCCTCTGAAGCTTCATTCAGACTTTTTTCTTTTGTTTTTTTTTACAAGCAAAAACATTGTGTTTGCTGTTTCCCCTATTTTAAATCTGACTGAATTCCTCAGCGTTTCACTGAGGCCTGCTGCACGTCACTGTTTCACGTGTACTTCCTACTCCTGACCAGCAGGTGTCGCGCTTCTCCGCGCGGCGGCGGCCCCTCTCCTTTTGGGCTGAATCATTTCATCCATCATCGTACCCAGAATGCAAAGTGGGACTCCGAAACCTCAGCAGCCCCAAGCCTTTCTGGTTATCATGGCGATAAGAAACACATCCTCGCCCTGACTCCCCGCGGCAGAAGCACTGGCAGCAGCAAAGATTTCTTCCTTCTGATTCATGCAAACACACACCGAGGTCCGTGCAGTGCGGAGACCTGCCGGAGTTTCAGCCCACTTTGAGAGGAGGACATAGCGAGTGACCGTCATGGCAGCGTCCGAGCTGTACACAAAGGTAATACGTGTGTTTTTTTTTTGTTTTAGTCGTCACCTCTAATATCTGCGTGCTAGCTCGAAGGCTAAATTGGTGTTCAAGTTGACTCCGTATTCTCCCCAATGCCTCCGTCCGCGTGAGTCATTGTCTCAGCTAACGAGCGGGGGTTTCACCCCGTGAACGTGCCTTCGTGAACACAATGAATGAAAATGCTTTTGATATGACACGGACCGTGTTTTGTATTTTTTTGGGGGGGGTCTTTGACGGTGGGGCTGGGTGGTTGTTAGTTGAAGCAGGTCGCGTGCAGCTAAAAAAAAAAAAGCGAACGTCAACAGCTGCGGCACAGACACGTCTCCCCGTCAGACAAGACGGTCATTACGGAGGACGGTTGTCTCCCTACTGACGGTTGTCATCTCATTTAGGCACCAGCTGTATTTTCCATCTTGTCTCGTTATGTTTTAACTATCCAACCCCCGCCTTCCCCCTCCAGGCTGGTCGCTAGTGGGCTGGGATGATGCAAAAGGCGGCGTCAGCCATCATGGAGGCTCTGTTTTTAACGCCTATCTCTCATCGTATTCAACTCTTTGTAAAAACACACCTGTGTTTCCCCCCCTTCGCGTCGTTTTTTTTATATTTCAGAATGGCCTCTTATTTAATCGGTTTGAGCCCTTCGTTTCGAAGGGGAGGGGAGCCTAGCTGGCTGGGTACCGCCGAGATGCTGCGTTGCAGCCCAGCATCCGGATGGTTTAGCATCCCTCCTCTTAGCATCCGGGGGGGGGGTCTGTGGCTGTTTAGATGCTCAGAGAGGAGAACTCGATACGGCTGCTGAGGAGGCCTGTTACACATGCAGCTCACAAGGTCATGTTCTGCTGCTGCTGCTGTAAAACTCTGCTTTAAAATGCGAGGCAGCGGGGAGGAGAGTGGCGTGTCTGCAGGCCAGGGAGGGGAGATGAGTCACCCATCCCCCTACTTTGACAGCTGGTGTGTTCAGCTAGAATAATGGTAGTGCCGGAGCGAAGACCGTGATGGTGGTTATTGGGGTTTATTTTAAAACGTGAAGCTGACTGCAGCCTTCATCGGGCTGTTTTTAAACAGGGGTTCCACACAAGTTTGGACGAGACGTGGACCGGGGACACTGAAGTGTGGGCTCCAGAGAATCAGCCTTAGTGGTAGAGTATGTAATGGCAATCGACAAAGCTTCCCAGATGGGACTGCTGTTCTGGCAAAAGGTGTCATTTTTTCCACTGTTAACAGAAAAATAATAGCTTTTTTTTCTCCAAGCATTGTGCATTCAAGCTTCCTCACTTGGCTGTTTTCTGTTATCGTTATTATTTTTCAAAGCAAATTTCTTCAGGCTTTTTGGACAATGCACTGTATTTGTCTGCATTGAATGGAAAGACTAACAAAGAGTAGATAGAATAAAGCAGAAATGTGCAGTGAAAGCGTGGCCTCTCCTCCCTGAGGCTCCTTGTAGCTCCTTGTAGCTCCACTATGGTGTAAGTATGAGTAAACAATGGACCTGCTCTGCTGGACAAGCTTTGTAACGACAACTTTAAAAAATAACCTTGAAACTGTTTTTCTCTCCTGTGCGGAGACGTCAGTATTTTCTAAATAGCCTGAGCAGAGAGGGGAGAGCACTACACACTTCCAGTTGTTTGATCCCAGCAGCCACTTGAAGGATCCTCTTTAACCTACACAAAGAGACATCTGTTCAAATGTACAGGCAGTTAAATACGCCGGTCATAACACTTGGCCAGCTAACCGGCTGTCAGACAAGAGCTTTGTGCGCTCCCTCTGATTACCAGCCATTTTCAGCAAGTTATCCAAATTCGCTAATGCGCAAAACAGTTTTTCTGCCATTCGTTTTCCTACTAAATGTGACTGTCTTTCTTTTAAATGCCCAAACTAGGTGTAAGCCCAGCCATTCAAAGTTTTAAATATAGGTGAATGTTTAGAAATGTGTCTGTGTGGCTGCGTTCTGCTTTGACTGGCTCAGTTTGTGGGTGAGGTACACCTCTGATGTCACAACCCCCTCTGTGTCATTTACCTTTCCATCAGAGGAGTGGGGAACACTCTGCTCTTTGTGTGTATGAGCCAGCCTTATAGAAGCTCATTGAGTGGGTGTAAGCTGCTCTCTGAACATGCACACATACACAACCTCCAACCCTGCTCCAGTCTCTGTTTGGGTCCCATCTGAACTGCCCACCAGTGCAAAGAGCTGAGGGTCTTCAGAGTAAAGGTGTTTCCTCTGCCTGAGCAGAGGATCCAGGACACATCAGGATCAAAACCAGTGATAGGTGGTAAAAGTAAAAAGTGTGAGTAGCAGCAGAGATGGCTGAGAAGGAGCATGTTGTCATGGAGATGGAAGGGTGTTGATTCACGAGCTTAAACTGAGCAGTAAAGTGACGACAGCTGGTTTCTGCACTCTGTTCACAGAACCAGAGTCAAACAGAGCTACTTTGGCTGTGACTTACTTTAGACAGTCTTGATTTGTGTTTTAGTGGCGTGTTTGTCCAGGCCTCGCTGGCGGCGAGACACAAATGGACTGATCCCCACAGTCAGAAGCACTGTTTTGCGGTATGCAGGGTTAAGACAAAGACCCCCCCCCCCCAAAGAGGGAACCAAAAATGATGCCGACTGGTGCAAAGAAGAAGAAGAAAACAGGTCAGATCCTCACTAGAATGAGCTGTCATCCTCAATGGAAGTATCATGATAGAGTAGAATACGTAATTATTCAGAGGACAGGCAAGTTTGAAAATCAAAAAGATGGGCCTGCTCCTCTCTGAGGTTCCCAGCTCTCCAAAGGTTGCAGCACAGAGACGATAAACATCTGAGCATTGCGCGGGTCAGAAACGCCCACCTCCTACGGCAGGCTGTTGGTGATGTCACGCAGCGAGAGCTGCAGCTGATGGAGAGGAAAACACCTGCTGGTGAATCCCGGGCTTCGGTGAGCCCACACCAACAGCGGGTTCGACCTTTTCACCCATAGATGGCAAAACAGAAGCGTTCCTCTCTCTCACACTGAAAGGGATGTCAGAGCGGTACATTGAAGGTTTAATAAGGATAAACGAAAAGGTTTGTAGTCATGGAGAAATTCAGTTTGTGTAAGACGGAGAGATGCTGCCGGGCTGTTCCTCGCCCCCCTTTAAAGGGCAGCTGGGTGTCTGCCCAAACTTTGAGCTGTGATGTCAGGTTTGTTTCCTTTCTAGGAAAATAGGAAAGTGATTGGCTTAAATTACGAGAATAAGCCCGCGCTCTAGCACTGGGCTTACTTTGTATGCAGAAGAACGTCTCTGTCTTTGTTTTTGTTTGACAAAACACTTCTCTTTTTGGAGTATAAGCAGGTAAAAGCATCAGCGGTCAGGACAAAAGTCTCGGCGCTGCCCGCAGTGCCAGACGTGTCACCATGTCCTCATCGGGTGGCAGGTTTCTGCATACACAAATGTAATGTTTGCTTTAGCTTTTCCCCTTCTTCTCCGTCTCTGATTGAGAGCATGTGCGTTAGGTTACTGAGATAACGCAGTTAAAGCGTTTGCCCTGTCGTGTTGTATGCACTCTGCCATGCAGCGACTGCTGAGCTGACAACCCGCCTGGGCGGATGCAGCCCGATTAGAGCTGCATGTTTACCAGCAGAACATTCCCAGCGCTTCTCCCTGTGTTCCGCTGCTCCAGTGGCAGGGGTTCGCTGTCACCATCTGAGGAACGAAGCCTCAGCGTTTGTTGTTTTGGGGTTTTCTACCAGCATCCTATAGCTAATCAGACCACTGTCTCATTAACAATGAAAAAGACTGGCCATGGAGCCTACCATAGAGGGTAGGGGCCTACAAGATGTGGGGTCACCTCTCACTTGACTGGTATTAAAGCTTTCTGTTTCCCTCTTAATAGCAGTCTGTTTGTTTTGCTGTCTCTGAGTAAGTGCTGTTCTCTTGCTTAGAGTCTGTCCTCCTCACAACTCATGTGACCAATAAAGGAAGCCGGGATGTTTGTTGACAGACAGTCGGGATGGCCAGTCATGTGTGGCAGGAACTGTTGGGAGCGTCAGTGAGCGCTGCCTGTGTGTGCAGACACAATGGGCCGGTTCTGCTCCGGAGCTCATCGCTCCACCAGTTAGCATCTGGTCCTGTGGCCTGTGTGTGACTGGAGACATCCAGGAAACCAGCAGACACAGCATGAGGTAAAGGGCTGACTCTGCAGACAAGATGAACCGGGAGTTGGACTATATGTTTGTTCAAGTAAGTTTTTTTTTATGCTTCATTTTAGTCTTTAAATAGTGATTTGAAGTTACGTGTTGCTACATTTTTTAAGAAGATGGACTTCAGTACAATTCAGTACTGTTGTTGTTAGCCTGTAGATGCTTCTCAGACATCTTCATGTAAGTTGGCCTTGAGTTTGCAATGCTGCCTCTGTAACAGGGGAACATGGAGCCCAGGTCCTGACACACCCTTGGAGACTGTTATATCACTTTAGTCAGCTGGACAGAAATAACTACCAGTTAGCTGCAAATAAGATTTCAGCCTGTGTGGAGTTTCAGTGTCTGAATACGAGTGACATATTTGTTGTAGATGGACAAAACTGAATGGCTGGAAAAGTTTTTGGTAGTTTGTCCTTCCTGTTGGACACACAGCGTCACAGAGCCGTCCAGAGGGCTGGAAGTCAACTTTGTGGGCCAAAGATGTTGTCTAAAATGTAAAAATGCTTTTACTTAGTTTTACCAGAGTCAGTGTGTTTTGAAGCTTGAATGGAGATGTTTTATTCTTTATTTTAAATGTTTGTAATGAAAAGGAGGTTCCACAGCATTATCTGATGTAATCACAGGAACTGTCAACAGTGCACGCACAGCCCATTCTCACATTGCAGCACATAGAAGCAAACGGCGCTCCACCAGCAGCCAGCGCTGGCCCAGCTAACATGATTAGCAGCTGGGCAGCGTCACAGCCTCTTAATAAAAGACCGATCTCTGGCAGATATCCGTCAGGTAGCTGTGCCAGCACTCTAGTTGGATGAAACCGATGTCAAAAGCCACGAAAGGCTCTAGCAGCCAAACTCCCCAGTGAGGCCTCTGAGTCCGGGCACCATGCAGCGTCTGCCCAGCTGAGCAGAAAAACAGCAGATTCTCACATGAGTGGCATCATGTGAGGAGGCCTCTGCAGTCTGGGACTCCATTGACGGCTTTACAGAGGACATGAGGGCGAGACACTTCTTGCATACCATCGCAGCTGTTGAAACGGCCAGTTTGTATTGTAAAATGTATTAGGGTTTTAATCTTTTCCACTTGATTCACCTTGGTCTAAATCCCTCTCCTTCCTCCACGCATAGTTAGAAGAACGAGATTACCACAGTCACTCCACTTCTGTAGTTCTTCACCAGAGCAGAAGCAGAGTGGAATTTCACCTGAAGAGGCATAGCTAATGTTCAGTGCACTTTTCAAGGCATTACTTTACATAGTAGTTTGTCCTTTTAATCTGTGGGAGGATGATGATGATGTCATCCTGTCTGTGTTGCCCGAACCACAAATCCAATTGCAAAGTTGTGCGGAGCTGATATAATTTCCAAGTTAGTCAAAAAAGATTTCTGTAAAAACCTGTTGAGTGTTCAGGTCGTCTCTCGCTGCATTAAAACACACTTTAAGGTGAGTTCTGTGAAAGTTAATGAACTTCTAAAAGTCACCGGGTCCTTAAAGGTGCTTAAAATGAGCTAAATTCAGCCTTAGCTTAACTCACAGCACAAGGCATATTACACTTTGTCATTATTCTTTCAAAGGATGTCTAAGTGCCCCACAAACTCTATCACACAGGACAGGAGCAGGCTGGGGCTGCTGCTCCAACCCACTGAGTAGCTGATCAGCAGCTACGTCTGTAAAACTGCCATTATGACATTACCTGGAGAGGGTTATCGAGCCATTTCCAAACTATCCGGCGAGATAAAGATTTTTGACTGCTCCCAGTTTTTGCCAGGACTTGACGTTCCTGCAAGTTCACCCTGAGGTCAGACTCTTGAATACTGAGAGAAACTGCAAAACCTCCGACGACCGCCCTCTGTAGGACTCTGCCATGAAGATGAAGTTAGTGACAGGTCATCCAGAAAAAGGCTGGGGTAGTATGACTGCTGGATTCTAAAGGGAACAAAGCTGCACCGGCAACAGGAGCTGCCATTAGCCCACATTAGCTTGTTTCAACTTTATTTCATGATCTGTTAATGAGCCTTAAATACACAAAAGCCTTCAAAGTGAAAGAGACTGTACCTGCTTTATAAAACACAGATGCAGTACAAAAGCCAGAAAAGCCAGAATCCTCCCTCTAAAGAGTGAGAGCCCCAGGCTAAGTCTTTCTAATCTGCTGTTGACTTGGAGCAGATTTGTAAACACTTCTTACCCTGACCCCGTCCCACTGCCACACCGATGCCAAACAAAAAATTAGGGGCAGCGAACGCACTGCCCATGTTTGGAGGAATGGTCCAAACTACATTGGTAGAAATTCATTGACAGATTTATGATGAGTTTACAGCTTTAACTGTCAGGATATTAATTAATCATCTTTGAGCAGCATAAAAACATGTCTTATGGATTTATGGAACACAGTTCTAGATGATGGTCATGTGTTATTTGTCCACGATTCAGCTTTAAGACCATCCTCAGCATTAATTACCTGCGTTTTTGCAACGATATGGTGGCCGTTGACTGGGAATAAGATTAGCTGCTGCTAAACCTCGACTTAGCTTAATCAGGCAGCGATCCTTTGTCTCAATTAAACCAGGATTAGCATTAGCCTGCACCTTCAGCAGTTGCACTTCCCCACGGTGCTCTGACCATCTGACTGCTACTCCGGACCAGATATAGACATCCCTTCGGGTTGCTTTCTGTTTCATTACCTAACCGTTCTAGAGGCCCTTGTTTCAGACCTTCTCTATTAAACATTATCTTCCAGTCTGATCTGCATCATTAAAGAAGCCTTATGAAACTCCAAGGCTTGCTCTACATTAGCACATTTATTGAAGTTCATATGAGCAAGTGATTCAAGGGAAGTTCAACAGGATGTAAATATGGGAAAAAAATGGGAAGAAAAAGGCTAAAAAGTAGTATTTGATGGCTTTAATTGTCAAGAGCTGTGCCAGCCTAAGAAAAATAGCTATAATACTTTTTAAAATGCTTTTTTTTTTCTGGAGTTTATTTCAAATAGGACTTCACTTTCTGTTTCAGACAAGTATGTTTACCATCCAAGTTCATAAAACATGTCGGACACACGGTCACAGGCTTGTTAGTGATGTTGTTTTATCACACTTCCATGCATTTGTCTCCACTGAGTGTCTGCACATTCCTCATACAGCATATGTGATGAGCTGCAGACCCAAACCAAGGTGCTGAGCCACTTCAGTCATGTGACTTGTGACGTCACCGGGGCTCTGACGTCCTCACCACCCATAACTCTGCAGTCACTGTGCCTTGGCTCATGGCTTTTTTTTTACTCTCCGGCCTTTGGAGCACTCCTCTTTTTCCTCGTGTCTTTCTCTGCGACGGTAACGTCGTCGAAACATGTTGAACTTCTCTCAGTGTGTGTGGGAGAGAGCGGCTAAGCGTCAGCCTTCCTCTCTCCTCACCTGACCCCGGGGGAATATGTCGGCATGTTAATATTTATTGGCCCTGCAGTCAGACTGTTGCTGCGGCTAGTCTCTTTGCCCAAACGCGGCGCACATGCCTGTTCAGAAGTCAGATAAATGAGCTGCCTGGTGACATTCTGCTTTACCTAAAGATAATCTGTTGGCACCTCGGGATGTGTGGAGCACGGTGTGGTTATGCCGATCATCAGGATGTGTGCAACGATGCTTCTGGGAGGTGTGATGCTGTTCAAGAGTGTCGGTTGCTATTTTTAGCCTCCATTCCCCTCCTCCTCTCTATTCCATTTCCCATCTCTTTTTGTTGCTAGGAGGCTGGCTGTTGGGACGGTGTCCTGCAGGGACCAAATAGGTGAAACCATGAACAAAATGGTGGAATGAGAAGAGAGACAGAAAAGGGCTTTGTTTATTGATAAATTTGAATAATAAGCCTAAACGCTGCACTCAGCTTTCTCTCTGTCATTAAAAGGGTGTTGAATATTTTGTTAACGAGAGACTGATCATCTTGTTAGAACATTTTTGGAGGGTTTGAATAAGACCTTTTTCTCCTGCAAACCTGAGAGTAAAACAACTTCCAAATGATGAAGAAAAACTGCAATTGGACCAGATTTCCTAACCAATGAACCGATGAACCTATAAGACATGTGCACTGATTATTTCTTGAGATGTTTGTTGAAAGTATATATTGATATAGCCAAATGATTGAAACACATTTTGGTTTTAATCCATCTAAACCGGAGAAGAGCAGGGACATTGTGTGTGGTTTGACCATTCCAGCTGTGTGTGAAGGTCTCCCGTCATGCTGATTTTGTGCTGACATGATATACTCCTCAAAGTTAAGCTGGTCCCCTGAAGGTTTGATACACAAAAATCAAGCGGTCACAGTTGCCAACGGCTACATAAGCACATGGGCCCCGGTCTGCACAATACGCAAACTACCTGCTCCAGTGCTCACATACCTGATTTATTCTTTGAACGGGCTCTTGTGAGATGCATCAGTGCTTATTTTGCCCTCTGCCACTCGGTGAACACCACAGTAAACACCGGTGGTGCTATTTAGTGCCCCTGCAGGGGTAAGCAGAAATACAAATTAGCAAAAGGGGGTTAAATTAGGCCTGTGGATTAATTACAACCTGGAGGCTGGGTGGAGGTAGACCTTTAAGTAAATATTCTTACTTGACATATGTGTCTTGCTGGCAGAGGTGGACAGAGCAGAGGTTTGAGGTGTCATCAGTGTTAAAGTCTACAGATTTACAGCTGTGGCTGCCATTTTATGCAGCTACTCTTGTAAAAAAGCAAGAGTCAGACGGAATGATAAGGGAAGAAGGATGAGGGTTTGCGTGACCATGATGTCAGGATTCAGATGATTGGTAGTGGAGCAGCAGACATAATAATCCAGTTTTGTGCCCCTCTACAATGAGAGCTTTCTTTTTGGCTCCTGTGAAATTGTCGTCAGCAGTTTATGCAACGAGGGCAAAAGTTGCCGTGAAATTGCCGTTGAAAAAATCACCGACATCATCTTCAGCCGCAAAGTAAAACTTTGCAATTAATGTATAAAAAAAACAAAAAAACAACAACAACAAAAAAAGATGAGAGACAGAGTTAAAGTGTGTGAGACTCCGTGGAGTTTTGAATTCCCACAATGCCTTAGGTACTGCCAGGTCATCCAGGTCATCCAGCGGCAGTGATCCTCCATCAGATGTGTGTGTGTGTGTGCGTATGGAGGCGAACATGTGACCGGACGTGTTCTGGGTTGCCTCTCCACATGTCTTTGATCAGCTGTTTGTGTCCAGTCACATGTGTGAAGCAGCGATATGGGGATGTTTGTGTGCCTACGTAATACTCACATCTGCATTCTTCAGCTGTCATGAGCCGCTCCGCAGATGGTTCCCATCCCTCCACTGACCGTTATGAGACATTCGCTCATGACTGTGAAAACACAGAGCCCAGTGTTGCCTCAGAGGTCATGCTGTCTTAACTAGCAGCAGAAAGCAGGCCAGAAAACTCCTCAGTCATTCTTCTTCAGCATTTATTGAACACTGATGAGGGGGGGGGGGCTGCTACAACAGCGTTAAAAAACTATAGGTGGGCAGCAGTAATGGTGTTAGCAGGCTTAGCATCACCTCTTTAAGACCTAATCCCTCTTTTACTTTTGTCTTTCAGTCTGCTCGAGTGTGGATCCCCGATGCAGAGGAGGTGTGGAAGTCTGCGGAGCTGATAAAGGACTACAAAAATGGCGACGCCACTCTGCAGCTCATGCTGGAGGATGGAACGGTAAGAAGCACAAATGGAATAGTGGGCTGACGATGGAATCAGTGTTTACCTCTTCTAAATTTTAGCACCTGGTTTAGTGGCTTTCTCCATGTGTTGCCCTTTCTGCATTTCATTAGCAGTTATGGGTTTCATCATTAGCAAAAAAAATGGGACTGGAAGCAAAGATGCCTCCAAGGATCGCTACAAATGTTTCATGGTTCATTTTGTTTCTAGGCTTAGATTACAAAGAATGATGAGCACACAGCTGCTTCAAGCACTCACAAAGAAGCACTCCTTTAGATGATGACATGCTGGCTGCCCGAGCGTAGGCCATATTGCCTGAAGTGCATACGATCATAGTTAAATTAACAAAAAGAACTTCCACTTCTTCCACTTTATCAAAAACGTTTTGTCTTTTGTTCTCTACAACTGTCTCACTTTGCAAGCTTTAGAGAACTACAACATCCAAACATGTAGAGAAGTTCACAGATCATTGAATTGATCAGAATCTATCAGAATTGACTGATCTGATGTCAGGAGCTAAAGTGGTTTGCAGTTTCTCAGACTGCCACATGGCTGCTGGGTCAGTGTGCCATTTAAATATGTCCTGTAGGGACTTGTGGCAACAGGTCCTCCTTTTACTGGGATGTTTTCATTTGCTGCATTATCCTCTGCACAGAGTAATCCTGACAGTTTTGTTTCTTCTGCTCACTCCCAGAACATCGACCACAAGCTGGACCCCAAGACGAAGAACCTGCCTTACCTACGAAACCCAGACATCCTGGTTGGCGAGAACGACCTCACAGCTCTTAGCTACCTCCACGAGCCAGCCGTGCTCCACAACCTCAAAGTTCGATTCATCGACTCAAAGCTTATTTACACTTACTGCGGTAGGAGGACCCTTTGTAATGACTGTTCCTTATATCCCCAGTCTGTCATCTGTCACGGTTGATGAGATAAAGTTGGTGCTGTTATGAGATAAAGATCAGGCAAAAAAGAGAACTTTAGGGCTTCTATTATATTTCTGGTTCAAACTGTAGCATAGAAACTTCATTCATCAAATTGTAATGAGTGAATAATGTCCATTTCACACTTTATGTGTGTAGCACTCATGATGTCTGTGACCTTCTGTAACTTCTGCTACAAATCAAGCTTTGTTTATCAGCTCAGCTTATCACTATGAGTAGTATGTTATGTTTACAAATGTATACGTCATGAACTATCGCCAGGCCACTCATCATGCCACTTTTTATGGTATTTGAATGTATATGGTGACAAATCTACGTGTGTGAGCTCTTGTAAGACCCGCCTTGAAGATCAGAGTTAATTTCCAGTCCTGCTGTCTCACAGGCATCGTTCTTGTGGCCATCAACCCCTATGAGACTCTGCCAATTTATGGATCGGACATCATCAATGCCTACAGTGGTCAGAATATGGGAGATATGGACCCACATATTTTCGCTGTGGCAGAGGAAGCTTACAAACAGATGGCCAGGTTTGCATTGGTGCATTTATATGTGTGTGTGTGTGTGTGTATGATACCTGAGCAGGCTTGGTTCAACACTCCCTGTGGCTCGGCCCTCCCTCCCCCTTCAGGGTTTTTAGGTCAAAGCGGAGACCGAAATAGCCTCATGGTGGTCTCACTTTCTATTTTACTCTACATGTTCTTTTAGTCTCAAACAAGCACACCGTCACAAAGAAAGTCCCCCCCCCGATGCACTGTAAACTAACAGAGCTGTGTGTCAGATGTAGGGCCGAGCAGTGTTGGAGGGTGAATTGGCTGGCTGTGATGCAGTTATCAGACCCCCTCCAGTTCCAAGCTATTTTTAAAATAGATTTTTTTTTGTCTACAAAGTCAGCAAACAATACCCCACTCTGACAAAGCGTTCCTTTATTTGTTTCGACAGCCGACTTGAAAAGCCTAACCAGTGCCTAACTGAATTCATTCCAGGGAAAGCAGTGGTAATGAGGACTGACACCTGTAAGGCTTCACAGCTCGTTTGGCAGACTAAAACTGTTTATAGACCTTCAGGACACAATTTTGCCAATGTACACATCAGAGGAAGGATGTAGGAATCTCTCTGTTGTGTTCGAAGAGCTTTAAAGCTAAGTTGCTTGCATCATTTTACAAATGAAGAATTGTGGAATCGTTAAAATTCTCCTTAGACTCAGATGTTAATTCCGACTGAACAGTCAGGGAGGCAGTGAAATTCCCCTTAATGAGATGGGAGAATCTTACCGAATAAACTCAGTAAATGTAGTGAAAGATTTAATATTATTTTTAATGGCACAGTGACTAGCCAGAAGGCTTTTCTCAGAAAGAAGGCTTTTTACAGCCTGTTGCCAAAAATCCCCAGAACAACTCTCTCTTGGACCATGGGAAGAAAAAAAACTCTAATCCGATAACTAGGAGAAAGACTGTGTGACTGCATTTTCCGAGCCCAAGGTATGACACTCACAGTTGTAGATGCAGTGTCTTCAGTCAAACACGGTATTGGCTGCATCATGCTAAGGGGGATGTTTCTTTTCCTGTTTTCAAGGATTGGAAACCTATATTGGGGACTTTAATTGATTTTTATTCCCTTGAGTTGGTTAGTTTTTCCATTTATTCAGTTTTGTAAAATACTACATTAGTTAATATGTATTAAGATTGTGCCTTAAACACAAATCCTGGAAAACTTTTTAGATATTTCCGATGGCTCACCTTCATTGGATACTTTCCATGATTAAATGAATAACTGGAGTTTGTCAGGAATGTTTTCTTGTAAGTTAATGTGTCCTCTGCCCTCTGATGTCAATGGTTATCACCCAACTTCTATAGTAATGTCACACATGCCTTCCAAATCAATTAGACCTCATGTTAAAGAGCACAGCTGCAATTAAATGAAGCAATTAAAGAATGTGTTTGTGGGTTTTGTTGAGTAATCGTTTATCATCCGCCAGGGATGAGAGGAACCAGTCGATAATTGTGAGTGGGGAGTCCGGAGCAGGAAAGACGGTCTCGGCCAAATATGCCATGAGATACTTTGCCACAGTCAGTGGCTCAGCCAGCGAGGCCAACGTAGAGGAGAAAGTGCTGGCTTCCAACCCCATCATGGAGGTGAGAACAGCAGTTTCAGCTTTAGCCTGATTCCATTCCACAACCCTACCTCTTCTTTTCATTCCTTCCTCTGCAGATGTTTCCTTTGGAAGACCGAAGGTAAGGTCATCCTATATTTTAGACACCTGTTTCAATGTCATCTGGCCCTTTGAAGGGGATATGAACTCCTTTGGGATGGCAGATGAGCACTTTCCTCATGTTTTATATATGAATGGACACTTCTTTGTCTCTGTTGATCAGTTGTCACATGCTTAGTTTATTTGTGACCTATACCGGTTTAATAAAAGTATAATACCCACATCCTCTCTCTGCTTAAAAAATGTTAACTGACTTCCTTTATTTATTTCTCCCCCTCACACTGTGTGTCTTTCTGGTCTCTGACTTCTTTCAACTGCAATAGCGCAGATCTTGTTCTCAAGTGTGTGTTTTTCTTTCCATTTAGTCATAAGTAGAGAAGGGCCGGGGAGCTCTGTCCCCCTCTCATATCCATGCACCACTCACTTCACCTCATGCCTCCCCTACATTGTCAGTCATTTCCCACAAATCTGCTAAGATCAGTCTTCCCTCAAGCCACCGCTCTTCTCCTCGGCCAATCGGAAACAGGCTGGCAGAATGAATAGAAGGCGTTCTGCTCACATTGCAGTGATGTCACTTAACCCCCTAAACCTGGATTCAGAGCAGATTGTTGCATCAGCCTTTTCGATCTTACAAAACCCGTCTGTGTGAATGTGCGTGAAGGGAAGAGAGTTGTTGCGTGGTGTTTGTAAATGTTGGCCTGATGGAGGAAGAGATTGGAATACCTGCTCTGCTAAATGCTTCCTTGTCTGCAGTGAAAGACTGTGTGTTTCGCCTTAACTCAGCAAGAACCCTCTGTGCTCACACATAATCAAATTCTCCTCAGCCTGACTGGTTGTACAGCTTTTAAGTGTGTGTGTGTGTGTGTGTGTGTGTGTGCGCGCGCGCGCGCGCGCGCGCCTATGCAGCCCCACCCATCTACTGACAGCTCCTTGCAGGGTCATTGATCAGTGCTGTGCTGTGCATTGAGGTTTGACTGCTGACTACAGTCGATTTGCTTGCCTGCATATATAGCAACTAAGAAAGAAACAAAAACTACATAAGACCTGTGTGAAAGGACAGAGACACTAAAACTAACTTTAACTGGATTTAGTTTTGCTGTAGACAGAATTTAGTTCTCATTTTCATACTTTTTTTTGGGTTGGATAGAAGATATATATAAATAAAAAAATGTTTTATGAAAATTCTAAACTTTGTCAGTTATATTTGTATTTTGATCAACACATTTTCAGGGTATGGGGAAAATTTTGAGGTGTGAACACTCTTTAAAGTGTTAAGATTTTCTGTGTGCCCTAGGAAAGTTAGAGCTGATCCTTTTCATTTTGTCATTTAGGCCATTGGAAATGCAAAAACGACAAGAAACGACAACAGCAGCCGTTTTGGCAAATACATAGAGATCGGTTTTGACAGCCGCTATCGCATCATTGGTGCCAACATGAGGACATATCTGCTGGAGAAATCACGTGTGGTGTTTCAGGTGAGCCCCTAAATGAGAATCCACCTTTTTGGATGAGTCCACGAACACACACACACGTGGTGTTTGGTTGTATGTTTTCCAGTAATTCCTGCCCTCTTCACCGGCTGATACCTGCACATGAGGCCTCACAGATAAATGGAAAAAACTGACCTATGCATTTCTTTTTATTCTGAACATTTGTCACCAAATGCCAGTTGAAGGACTAATAAAACAGCTAAAGCAGCACACAGTAGCTATCAGACTACCCTGGTGTCATTTACTGCTAAAGAAGCCCGCTGTAGAATGTTCTTTTTTCACAAGGGCCAGTAAAAAAGTAACAGTCCGTCTGTTGCGCCAGGTTACAGGGTAGAATTCTTTTTTCTTTGTCTCTGATTTAACAGCATGGCAAGACTCTGAGGTCGTGGTTTCATTTATGTACCTGCTTAGAACAGTGCACATGATCAAAAATGTTCATAAATGTGTTGATACTGACCTCGGCTTTCGTTTTTACTGTCCCGTCCTTAATATATTTTTTCAAACTATTTCTATTTGTGCTAAAAAAAACTTAATGATGCAAGTTTTCCTCATATTAATTAGCGGAGGCAGAAATTCAGCTTCTACACTAAGAGTAACACATACACGCACGCTTTTTGCTGTTATACATTCCACTGTTGAGGAATGAGGAGGTTGGCAGAGAAAAGTGATTACCTCCCTACATACCTGCCTCCTGTAGTTCCTTCATAGGTGTGTGTGCGGTTGCATTCTGTGGTGGGGTGTTGTCGCTCTAATGTGGGACACAGGCGACAGGTGTCTTTACTGCACTGAGCTGATATTTGTGTCACTTCTTAGACTTTCACTCTTTTGCCCTTTTAATTCTATGATTGGTCCTGACTGGAACGCAGATGTATTTAAGCTTTTTAACTATTTTGAAATATTTTCAAACATAAAGCACAAATAATTTACTAAGAAAATGTTGAGTAGTTATATTGTTCTGAAAATGTTGTTTTGTTTTAACCAAATAGCTTATAATTAGGACCAGATGTATGAGGTGATGCTGATATCATCTGCTATATTCTGCTGACGTTCTGTAGCTTATTTTGCGTTTATGTGTTGTATTTTCACCAACCTACTTACTCATGTTCTCCCTACTTTCTCTCAGGCGGACGAGGAGAGGAATTATCATATATTCTATCAGCTTTGTGCGTCAGCTCATCTGCCCGAGTTCAAGAATCTGAGGCTCAGTAAGTCACATGAATTTTCTCCTGACTCGACCCACGCCAACACACCACTGCACAGACTGTACATTAACACCACAAGCAGACACACAAAAGGCACTCATATCTGTTATTTTGAATGTTACCGGAGCTTTTAAAAGAAGCTCCAACACCCAGACATCTTAGGCCATCGTTTTAAAGCTATAAGATCTTTTTTACCCTCTTTGACATCTTTGAATATTGCTGCTCTGCGTGCTGTTTGCCATCAGGTCAGAAGCAACAGACCATGTTCCGGCTATAAGAACTGAACACCGAATCACTGATTCTGTGGTTCTGTAAAGTGCTCCCACTGTGGACCTGCACCTGCTCTTTTTAGCCATGAACACACAGACGCACACAGACAGTGCTGGCATCGTCATTTACTGCCTCTCAGTTGGCACGCTGTCTTATGCATGGACACACACACAGATCTGCTGTCTTTTCCTCTCATGCTGACTTCCTGGCTCTGTTAATGAAGTGGTTGTCACAGTCGATGTCAGCGCCTCTTGTTGCCAGGCAACTGGCCATGCCCTAATTCAGTGTCAAATGACCATAAAGAGCCTGATTGTGGAAAAGTTTGGGGTAAAATCACTCTTGCACAGAAGTGCTTTTGATTTGATGTGCTTCTAAGAACCTGAGAACCCTCACGCGCTCCCTGTCTGTTGATCTAAGAATGAATGAACACCAGGAAGCTCAGAGCATTCACATCACCGTGTCGGTAAATGCTGAAGTCTTCCGTACCAGAAAACCTTGCAGTGTTTTCTTTTCACTTCAATCCACTTAGAAGAGTCTCATGAATCTGGCTTTGAACTTCTTTTGTGGTTCATGTCCTTGTTCAACTTTACTTGCTGTTCGTCTCGGCGTATCTAACCAGGTCATTGGTCATGGTTTCGTGGGAGGTGCACACAGAGCGCACACTGAGAATAGTCCAGCTTTTGTTGCTTGATGTGTGAAATCACAAGTTTTTACCACGTTGCATGTTCTGTAGTCTCACATCTAAAATACCAAGCTCGTGTAAAATTCCTCTCTTTTTGTGTGTCAGGCAGTGCAAACGATTTCCTGTACACCAGGCAGGGCCGCAGCCCCGTTATCGACGGCGTGGACGACACCAAGGAGCTTTGCACTACTCGAAATGCATTCACTTTGCTGGGTAAGAGACACACAAAGAAAAAAATGCAGATTGGAACCAAGATGTGAACTTTTTGTAAAGTTAGTGTGTATCTGTGTATTTGTATGCTTTTTGCAGGTATTAATGAGTCTTATCAGATGGGGCTCTTCCAGGTTTTGGCTGCTATTCTTCACCTAGGAAACGTGGAGATAAAGGACAGAGATTCAGACAGCAGCCTTATTGCGGTGAGGAGACTCTTTTCTTCATTAGGAAACGGGGGGGGTGGAGGTAGTTTTACTTGGTTGCTGGGCAAATGCTAAAACAAAGACATTAAAACATTTTTACATAAGGCAATTGATTGGAGGGAATTCCTCAGCTTGGCATACATGTTTTTTTTCCTCCCTCCTCCAGCCTAACAATCGCCACCTGACAGCGTTCTGTGAGCTGGTAGGTGTGACCTACCAGGACATGTCCCAGTGGCTGTGCCACAGAAAGCTGAAGACGGCCACAGAGACTTATGTCAAGCCCCTCCCTCGCCTTCATGCCACCAACGCTCGTGATGCCCTCTCCAAACATATCTACGCCAAGCTCTTCAACTGGATTGTAGCACATGTCAACAAGGCCCTGGTCACCAATGTTAAACAGCACTCCTTCATCGGTGTTCTGGACATCTACGGGTACGTCAGTGTCAGGATGTTGGCTGGTGATGGGTTGGAATAGAGAGGGAAATGAAGGGTTGTGAAGGGAAATAAACATCAGTAATGAAAAAATGGAGCAACTAAAGCTGACGTTGCCTTCAGGTAATGATCAGTTGTTTTCTGGTGAGCTGAGCAACAGCAAGCAATGATCACTTGACTTGATCCCTGCTCGTTTATTAGCCATCTTTTCCCAGCTACTTTTGGTAACCCTGTGTTATAAATCTCAAATATATCACATTTTAGTACTTCCCTCATGTAATGTCTAGAGAAATGCTGAGAATTGAAACCTTAGAATGCAAACAGTAATGTGCAGTCAATGAAAAAATGATGTTACTTAATGGGTTTTTGCTACTTCTTCTCATAAGGTTTGAGACCTTTGAAATCAACAGCTTTGAGCAGTTCTGCATAAACTACGCCAATGAGAAGCTCCAGCAACAGTTCAACATGGTAAGCATGCTTCGCCTGCTGCCTTACAGGAAGGCTTTCGATTTCTCCGCTCACTGTGGTCTCCTTTGTGCGTTTGTGTGTGGCCAGCACGTGTTCAAGCTGGAGCAGGAGGAGTATATGAAGGAGCAGATCCCCTGGACCCTGATCGACTTCTATGACAATCAGCCCTGCATCAACCTTATAGAAGCTAAGATGGGTATCCTGGACCTGCTGGACGAGGAGTGCAAGGTGCAACTGAATTTGATATCAAATTCAGAAAATGGTTTGATAAGTTTGCATTCAGTGTTGTCACCTCAGATAAATGACACTGAACTTAAAAGTGACTCAATACTGTAGGTGGACCAGAAACTTTATGCAAATGTAAACAAAGTACTGTTAGTTTTTTGTGGCATATCGAGTTGGGGTCTGTGGGCTTGTTCCTCGCCCGCATTCTTGTTTACATTTTTCTTTACTAGATTTCTCATTGCTTTCCAATTCAGATAAGGCAAAAGTCTCTGCCACCTAAACATGTAGTTCAGCTGCTGGGAGGAGGTTTTCTGAACCAGTGGCCATAGTCTGGAGCACTGCTTTTCTCCTTCTGTCGCACAGTTAGACTGAAACTCTCTATCTCTCTATGATAAGGTGATTTTATAGGCTGTTGACTTTTGAGGTGGGTCACTTTGCTGAAAAATGTACATGTCCGTAAACACATGAAGGATAGAAATGGTTCACTGTCTGAAATACAGAAGTTTTATTTAGTAATAATTCATGTGTACCATTAGTATCTTGTATCTTTTTTCCCTAACTTGCATTCTCCATTTAAATTCTAGATGCCGAGAGGTTCAGATGATTCATGGGCTCAGAAATTGTACAACACCCACCTGAAGACCTGTTCTCTCTTTGAGAAGCCACGCATGTCCAATCGCGCTTTCATCATTCAGCATTTTGCCGACAAGGTGGGCCTGTCAGATGTTTTCTGTTCATTTCTTTGGTCAATGAGGCAGACCTGAGTGTGTGTACCTCCCCATGATGTGACCTGCTGTTGTAGATGGTCAGTTGAGACGTTTTTTTTATTCTTATGAAATTCTCGCAAAGATTGATCTTGTTGTATTTAAAAAATATATATTTGAAAGTTGGGGTTTGTGCATGCCCTTTGCTGGAGAACCCACTTTCTCTATGGTGTTCAATTTGTCTTATACACAAGCAAGTGAAAACACCATATTGTTTGTATTTACGTTATTGGATAGTCTGCCAAGCAGCGCTGGAGGTTTAGATTTTAAAAAAGCCTAATCAAATGTCCTTCTAGCTGTAATACAAGCTGTCCTTTTTTGAGCAGGTAGAGTACCAGTGTGACGGCTTCCTGGAGAAGAACAAGGACACAGTGAATGAAGAACAGATCAATGTTATGAAGGCCAGCAAGGTGAGACACACAACATCTGGGCTCTCTGGTATGAAGTCAAAAGCTTATCATACAGAGGTAGTTTCATAAATCATAAAGTCATAAGTCATAAATCTGAAGATTGTAGCTAAATTACAGATTAAAGAGCAGCTTGAAGTTCACGGCTCCTGCAGAGATGTGGCACCAGGTCATGTGGGGGCTCAGGGCAGCAGCTCCCCCCACTGGTCATGTGAGAGTGATGACGCCAACAGGGGTGAAAAATACTCATTTTCAACTGAAAAAGTTTAACACGCTTGCACAAATTGACACATTCTACATCAAAGAAAAATGACTGCAGTGTTATTTAAAACGCCGGCTGTAAAGAAATTTCACCACAAGCCAGCAAGTGTCTGTAGTGTAGAGGTATCATCCTTATTAGCCATCACCAAGCCCCGTGTATTCTCCAACTCGACGAGGCTACACAGAGGTCCAGCTCTGCTGCTCGCACACGTGCACGCTCCTTTTGGTGGATCTTAGTTGGATCAAATCTGAATTAACATCACGTGTGTTTGTTTGTGTTTTGGTCTTTGTTCAGGATGTCCATGTGGTATCCTTTTGTGTCACAACAAGCCTGAGCTTTTAAACCCTCCCTGCTGTGCACAGGCAGTCAAACTGTGACAAAGTGTGTTTGTTTAAAATGCTCAGAATGACCTTTAATAAGGTTTAATAAATCTGAGAAAGAGCAGAATTGGGTCAGGGTTGTAATAAAAATAGTGGCTGTTCTGAGGTCAAGCAAGCCTTCTAAATGTACACACACTGAAGGACTCTTAAATAATTGGTATTAAGGGATGATCAACTCCTAATGAGATCTGGTCAAATTAAATTACGTTTTAGTTCCCTGCAAAGCTTGTCTCACCACTTTTTGTGAGTTTACAAATGTTTGTTTTCTCCTGAGCTGATGTTTTTTCCACACACTTCACCTGGGAGGATGACGCATTTCACATGGCAATAAAATAGTTGTCCAAACTGTCCAAATAAGTTTTGTAGGTCAAATTTTGTGCCTGGTAATATATTGAGCTAATCCATATTTTTTGTTCTGTGGCTAATATCAGAAAATCATGTATTAAACCAGCCCTAAAGTCAGTGAATCTTTATAAAGGGATTTACAAACTGCGCACTTTTTGCTTTCTTTTACGAATAAGATCTTACAGAGATAAAATCTATGCATCTCATGATGAAAAAGAAGGTTTTTCTCTCTCTTTTGTCCCTCCCCAGAAATCCTGACACTTTAAATATAATATCTTATTATTTTGTAGAGCACCTGATAGATTGTATTGTCCTGCATAGTGATATGATTTAAGTTAGTATGAATTATATTGTAGTCATTATAATAATCATTCAACAAAAGGGCCCTCGTTATACAGTGACACCTTTAATATGTAATTATTAGTTTTCCAAGGAACAGTTTGGAAGTCTGAAACTGGGAAACAACTGGTGGATTTAGATGTATTTTTAGTATTGGTATAGGAGGTACAGAATTAGAATTGGATATTTTGGTGTTCATATTTTGGTATTCATGCAAATGTACGTGGCAAATATTTCCATTTCTCAGCTCATCTGCATCCATGCTGGTGTTTGGGAGTGATTTACAGATTCCTGAATCTGTGAGACAGGGTATAATGGGAAATCATGCATTTTTATTCCCCATAAAATTCCAGCATGTGTCCCCATTCCCAACATATGTATGCATGCCTGGATGTCAGTGAGAATTTGTTTGAAAATGTTTGGGGAGGAATATCATGTTACCTTCGCTCCATTCAGCTTCTGCATGGTTTTCCATCTCTTCCAAGATGAGTTTTATAGTTCTGGATGGGGTTGCTCGTGATATCGGACTTTTGGGTTTCCATGCCTTTCTTTTTAATGCCATTGTGTATCTTTGTCACTGTGTCTCCATATGTTGTCCATGTATGTTTGGTACTGTCCTCATCATGACAACCTTCCCTACCAGCAGAAGGTAAACAGCAGCGTTCTCATAACGCCGGTCCGCCTGTAGCTCTTTATTCAGCTCTTTCTTTGCTCCTTCCTGTCCCTCTTCGTGGCACTATAGTGACTTCACTTTTAGGAGAGCACTGAGGAAAAGTGGAGTCTGTGTGTGTGTGTGTGTTTTTGTTTGCTGCATGGGGAGCACCAGAGGCACGGTGGGAGGAGACTTGGGGACAAAAGGGATGAAGGAGGGAGGGTATTTTTATCTTTCAGAAGGATGCTGAGAGCGATCTGTGGCTGTCCTGCTTTGTGAGGCTGGTTAGAGAAGCAGCATGGCGCCGCAGGAGGACCTGAAGCTGCACACATAACACAGCATCCTCCTCATATAACCTCACCGTTATATGGGACATGAATGACGTGTGTCGTTCATGCTACGTTTGTCATAACATCATGGCAACTTATTGCCATACCGTCATATATGACCTCTACATTATTGTCATACATGACACAACTATAACCTTTTCATTTAGTATATTTTTCTACTAATCAAGCCACACCATTTGAATACAAATCTTGAGACTAATTCTGTCACAAAGCACGGGATTACATGTTTCAATACATGTTTGAATAATTTAATGACGTCCAAGCAGCAAAAGCATATCTGCTATCTTGCTTTGTGAGCCTGTGTGCACTGCTCCAAAAAAATCCAAGAAGCACGGCTGAAACGGGAAACATTTTGAAACTTAATTTTTAGTTATATGCAGTTTACAGTAGCTACACAGAGGCCTTTTTAAACAGTGGCTAAGATTATTAACCCCAACCCTTGCAGAGCCTCGGTTCCCAAACTTTCTGTTTGTGACTATAAATGGCTCGCTGTTTATAGTTTGACCTGCTGGTGGAGCTGTTCAAGGATGAGGAGAAGGCAACCACTCCTACTGGTCAAGTCCCCGGCACCGGAGGCCGAACCCGCCTCAGCATCAAACCCGAAAAGAGCCGAGAGACGAGCAGCAAGGAGCACAAGAAGACTGTCGGCTGTCAGGTAGATGGGTCAACCTTAGCAGGCATTAACGGTGCCTCGTCAGTTCCAATGGGTAACTACCTAAAAAGAAAAGATAATAATGATGGTTTCCTTTCTTAGTTCCGCAATTCTCTTCAAATGCTGATGGATACTCTGAATGCCACCACTCCTCACTATGTGCGCTGCATCAAACCCAATGACTATAAGATGTCCTTCTCGTGAGTGTCCCCTATCTGTTTGTCTGTCTTCTGGCATATTGATGAAATAATTTTCTCTGAGTTTTTTAGATTATTTTAAATCTCAGTGTGGATTTTAGTCACAATTTAAAATTTATAGCTTTATTTATTTATTAATTTGAAACACATTGCTGTCCTCACCAAGAAATGAGCCCGACTGGAGCTTAGTGGTTTTGGGTTGGATTCATGGTAGCGGTGTTAACTGTGGTTATGTGTTTTGGCAGGTTTGACCCCAAGCGAGCGGTGCAGCAGCTCAGAGCTTGTGGTGTCTTGGAAACCATCCGCATCTCTGCTGCCGGCTTCCCATCAAGGTGCTAAGTCATCCCAGGAGCACTGTTACCCTAATATTGTGTTGTCCTGCAAGTGGCTCTTGATTCATATAGCTGAGCTCATTAGGAAGAGGATAAAAACTTCTGTGTTTCTGCTTGTCAGATGGACATACCAGGAGTTCTTTAGCCGCTACAGAGTGCTGATGAAGCAGAAAGACGTTCTCGCTGACAAGAAACTGACCTGCAAGAACGTTCTTGAGAGATTAGTTCAGGTCAGATTTATGTTTATTTTTTGCTGTTTTTTTTTAACTTCCTTTGAATAACATCCATGATGTCTAATGGAAAAAACTATCGCAAATTTCCTCTTCATCTGACCATCTCCATTTTCCCCTCAGGACCAGGATAAATATCAGTTTGGTAAGACTAAAATCTTCTTCAGAGCTGGTCAGGTGGCTTATCTGGAGAAACTGAGAGCAGATAAGCTGCGTGCTGCATGTATCCGCATCCAGAAAACCATCCGCTGCTGGCTGGCACGCAAGAAGTACCTCCGTAAGCGCAGCGCTGCGATTACCATCCAGAGGTTCACCAGAGGCTACCAGGCCCGCTGGTGAGTGGCCACGCAAGATAGCCAGCACCTTCACACCCTGTTTGAACAGGCCATTTTAATGCAATGTTTTTGAGGGAAATTGAAACATGCATCTGAAAGCCAAACTGCCGCCTCTCCACAGCCTGGCCAAGTTCATGCGCCGCACTGAGGCAGCCACCACCATCCAGAAGTACCAGAGGATGTATGTCAAGAGGAAACTGTACAAGCAGAAGCAGGCAGCTGCTTTGGCTATTCAGACGATTCTCAGAGCCTACATGGCCCGCCAGAAGTACCAGGCGGTAAGACGCCTTAACACCCAGACAATATTGGAATTGTTTATTCCGAATCAACATGAATATTGTAGCAGACATGTGTGATGTGAAATTTTGAGCACATCATTGCTATTTGACAGGTTTGAGTTTGAGTTTGTAGTTATTTCTGAACTGTCTTCCCATCCCTGTGTGTCTTTAGCTGCTGCGGGAGCATAAGGCAGTCATAATTCAGAAATACATTCGTGGTTGGTTGGCCCGCTGCTGGTATAAGCGCTGCCTCGAGGCCATAGTCTACCTGCAGTGCTGCATCCGCAGGATGAGAGCCAGGCAAGAGTTGAAGAAGCTGAAGATTGAGGCTCGCTCAGTGGAGCACTTCAAGAAGCTTAACAAAGGCATGGAGAACAAGATCATGCAGTTGCAGAGGAAGATCGATGAGCAGGTGAAAGTTTCTGCTGCTGTCCTGATTTCTTCACATGTTGTATTCGGCAGATGATTTATTTTCTCATCCTGCACCTTTAGCATAAGGAAAACCGTTTGGTCAATGAGAGGCTGGTTGGTTTGGAGAGTTCCTACACCGTGGAGACTGAGCGTATGCGTACTGAGCTGACCCGGCTGCGTGGAGCGGATGAGGATGCCAAAAACAAAGCCAACCAGGTGTCATCCCTGCTGGAGGAGCTGGAGAGGCTGAAGAAGGAGCTGAGTGCCACACAGCAGGAGAAGAAGACTATCGAGGACTGGGCACAAACCTACAGAGACGAAATGGAGAAGGTAAGCCGGAGTCCACAGAGAGCATCTGTCTGTTTCTCTGTCAGCAGCATCACATGTCCCAGTATTTGTTTTTTTCTTTTTACCTCCTACAAGTTGGTCGAAAAAAATTTCAGCGGATTTTTTGGTGTAAGAACATGTTTGTACAGCTGAAATTTAAGAAGCAGCATCTTTTCTTAACCTCCCTTTCTTTTCTGTTCCGAGATCCTTGTAGTTTAAAACAGATTCCTCCCATTTAGTAGAATCTCCCATATTTCTTTCATTCTGCCATCGAAGGAAAATGTGTTTTCCTTAATTTAGGAGTCAAGTGGAATCATGGGGAAAGGGTCCCATGGTGTGCTCAGAGGGCAGTGTTGCCCCAGGGCAGGTGAGCACAGGACCGTGGTGTCCTAGTCAGGTAGATGGTGTGTTAGAGCACTTGGCTTTTTGTCTGGATTGTACTTCCTAAATCCCTTCAGTGTCTTCCCCAGACTATTTCCTGTAGGTTGTACAATTGAGTGATATGATACCCAAAGAGAAAAAAGAGCTTTTTACGCCCCCTTTGATTAATGAAGTGGTTCTCGGTGCTGTCAAAGGCTTTAAAAAGAAAAACCGTCAGTAGTATGTTAGACGATGCCGTAGCTGTTCAAAACAGCTACGGGTAAAACCTGTTAAAACCTGTTAAAGCTTTATAATTAAAGAGGGTTACAGTCTCCAGCTTTACAGGTGATGTAAAAGATCATATGAATGTGTGTTCAGATGGTGTCGGAGCTGAAGGATCAGAACGGAATGCTGAAGAAGGAGAAGGAAGACTTGAACAGAATGATTCAGGAACAGAGTCTTCAGATGACAGGTCAGTGACAGCTCATACGTCTAAATGACATCCCACGGGTTGAATGCTCAAGCAAGCATTTGGGTCTTAAATCGTCAGAGCGCTCTTGTTCTCTAAACCCTTCCGTTGTGTGGCCCTGCCAGAGAAAATGGCTCGTACCTTAGCAGCAGAGACGCAGCAGCTGGAGATGGACCTGAACGAAGAGCGCTCTCGTTACCAGAATCTGCTGACGGAACACCTTCGGCTGGAGGAGAAATACGACGACCTGAAAGAAGCAATGGCTCTCTCTTCGGTGAGGGGTGATACAGTCCAAGCAGAGGTCCACCACATCGGCGCGCCCAAAACACTCTCCTCTTTCCAGATTCCCATCAGCACAAGCCCAGCAGTGTGAGAAATATGACTTGATTCCATCAGTTCCAATGTCTTTCTGTTTGCAGAATGTCTCCAAGCCTGGCCACAGGAGGACAGACTCCACCCACAGCAGCAACGAATCAGAGTACACCTACAACTCAGAATACGCCGAATTGGAAGAAGGTTCCCGTGCAAGCGAAGTAAGAAAAATTACCACAAAGCTGAGAAAATAAGTGGGGGAAAAAATTCCGTCAACAAGCTGCTTCTGCTGCAGTAGAAGTCTTTAGAATGTGTTTGTATTCTGATTGTAGCATTTAGGGCCCTTCATTAAACTCTCGGGGTGCTAAGGTCTTTCTGATTCCCACAGGACGTGACGCGAGGCATGGACACATCACTGACTCTCAAGCTGCAGAAACGTCTCACAGAACTGGAACAAGAAAAGCAGTCGCTACGCAACGAGCTGGAGAACAAAGAGGACCAGTTCCAGCGGGCTAGAGCTAGGGTACTGTCAGTCACTTTCCCAAAAACAACAAATGTAAAAGCAATCGGCAGCTGTACTGTCATGTAGCAATGCCTGATTTGCAGCCCATGAAATTCCAAAAGTTCTGACAAATAGCATGACCCACTCTGGTGAATCCATGTCTTAGATTTTTTTTTCCTGTTCCAGGATGATGCACAGTTTAAGAAGGCTCGTGGGGCAGAACTGGAGTACGAGTCCCTGAAAGTAAGCAGCCGTCAAAACGAAACACACTGATGCCTTTTCACACATCAGCTCTTTTAACTGAGATGTTCTCGCCTGCCACTGAACTCTCTCCTCAGCGTCAGGAGCTGGAGTCAGAGAACAAGAAGCTGAAACATGACCTGGCAGAAATGAGGCAAAGCCTGCTGGGTAATGCAGCCACAGGGGCCGGGGCCCCAGGCTCCCCAGCATATAAGGTGCTGCTAGACCAACTCAACTCTTCCTGTGAGGAACTGGATGTCCGCAAAGAGGAGGTGCTGATACTCCGCTCCCAGCTGGTCAGCCAGAAGGAGGCTATGCATCACAAGGTAGAGACGGCATTTGGATTTCCTTTGTATTATCAAGGAGCAGTCCATTTGTTGGCATGTAGTCCTTGCTGCCGGTGTTGTTTGCAGTGACTCATAACTGTGCATCTAACTGTAGATGGATGCTGTTGGTTTTCATCCATTTTGTTGTTTATGTTTTGTTTCACTCGTCTTCTTCTGTCTGTTGATAAGCTGTCCCACAACAGTCAAAACTGGCCTAAACGTTAATTGGCCCCAAACTTTGTGGATTTTGATCATTTTTTCATCTTTTTTGCAAGACATCTTGATCTCAGAGATCCCTCAGCTTTTTTGAAGGATTTCACAACTTTTTCACTCTCTAACTCTCCTGTCCCCACCTTCTCTCCTTCATTCATGCTTTCCCACAGGATGAGAAGGTACAGTTTAAAAATCACATCATCCACTAGTCTTGTGCAGTTTTTTTTTTGTTGTTGTTGTTGCACTCTCATGTTTCTGACACAACCTTCTAAACCAGAATGAATAGTTTTAGCCGTACAACACAAATGCTCCCAGGAGAAAGACACCCTGTTTATTTACAAGATGTTTGACAAAATCAAATTACGGCAAAACTCTGACTTAAAAAAAAAAACTCTGAAAAGATTATCTCAAAGCATTTTGGTAGGATTTTATTAAATTCAGTTCTCACTGAACCAGTACGTTCTGTTCTTTGGGAAACGGAGGAAGCTACAAATTAAAGAGAAAAAAGAAGCTGGAGGGAGGCCCCAGCAGGAGCCTGACACGTATCAAACCAGACCTTTTCAACTTTTAAAAAGCTTTCAAACACCTCTTTAACAAGAAATACATGATCAAGGCTTAACGTTCAATCATTCGAAGTTTGAGGACCGAACATCTCCTCTGTCTTGTCTTCTGTGTGGCTTTCTGCATTTATGGACTCTTTGTCTATCTTATCATCACTGAGAATCCTGATTTGGGGTCAGTTTCTCCACACTGAGAATCTTTGGGATGTGCTGGAGAAGGCTTTACACAGCAGTTGGTTTGACTCTCCCATCATCAATGCAGGATTTTACTGCATATAGTGACATTGCAGAAGCAATAGAGGACGTGACCTTTTTTTATTGTATCCAGGCCCTGTAGAAGTGACTGCATTAAGCTGTGCATGCAATTGTAGCTGCTTAGTCACCATTTATTTGTGTTCCTCCTCATTTAACCTTCTCCCCTAGTGTTAACATCTGCCTTTCTCTTCTGTCATTTACTTATTTCCAGGAGACAATGACGGAGCCCTCTGTGTTTGCCGATGATGTGAACAAACTGAAAGATGCTGATGAGTTAAAGCAAGCTTACGTTGGCCTCAAAGACACCAACAGGTACCCTCCTTCAGACATTTCTCCTCCTCCACAAGGTTTCAGTGACTTTCTTCCATTCGCTTTCTCCACTGACTCTGTTCTCGAGCTCTTCATCTGTTGTAAAGTCGTTGTACAGTGTGCGAATGGAGTGTACACTTCTGTGTTCTGTCAGATCTCCTAGGTTCATGCGTCAGTCGCTGGATGTCGGCGATCTCCTGAGTCAGCTCAGGTAACCATTAAGACGTGGCCCATGCATCATGGAGCGAGCATGCATGGCCACGCTGTCACTGAGCAGGAGTGACAACTTCACCAGTGACGGGTGTAAATCAGGCTGAAACATCTGATTTCCCACTGATGAAAGCCCGAGTTTTGTTGCGTTCTATTTTCTGCCTCTGCAGCATGACCAATGGCTTTAACAGCTCCTGCTTAACTTTAGGTCTAACAGACAACGATGAACATTAAGCTGAGCGGAATTAGCTGTCTTAGCTTTACAGAGTTGTTTAAGAATTGGAAGGCTTGCATGGGTTAAATTAGTCTGCATCGATATGAGCAGAGCATCTGCGACTGGAAGGCAACTCAGAAGAGTCACACAGTTTTCAGTGGTTTCATCAGCCTTAGACTCACTGAGGATTTGTACCGCCTACCTGTAACAATAGCTGTGTTGGCATATGAGCATGGAGATGTCTCATCTGGTTTTTTACTCACAGATGCTAGTTGTAGAAGAATTTTTGTCTCGGATTCATTGAATAATTGTCGCATTAATCCTGCATGAACCTTTCTTTTTTTGTTGTCATGATTTTGTTTTCTAGCAGAGAAGCACAGTACACTTTTATGGAAGATTAGAAAGACTACACTGGTTGACCAAACATTTTTCCCATTTCCATTTTTTTTTATCGCAAACGACTCTTTCCTCTGTAATCATTATGGCTGTTCTCTGTGGCCTCAAATGATTGGCATATCACTATTTATGAACTACATACATGTTGATGTTTTCAGAGAGATTATATCCTGATATGAGGCAAAAACAAAAAGGAAGCGACAGAATTGGATATAAAAACAACATTTTTTCACATCCTGAGCCTAAATTTACATGAGACTGTAAATGGTTTCACCATTTAAGTGTTTATAACATTGTGTATAACATAAGTCTGCAGTACACAAATAGCTTGAGATGCAGATAGTGACGCCTGACAAGCATCTCCATCCTAAAATCTAGAATGAAGGAAAATGAGAGTGTGGCTTCGCTCATCCCTAAATGTTGTGCTTTGCATCACTGCTTTCATCCCACTGTTTCCTGTCACATTATTTTCCCACACTCACAGCAGAAGGTAATTTCTAACACACAGATAGAGCAGACATAATGTTCATGTCTTCCTGAGCCATCCCTCTCCTCTCCTTTTGTCATGTTTTCATGTCCCTTTGTGTTGTGTGTGTCGGTCAGATCTGCGGCTCCAGACCTCCATAAGCTGAATGAGGACGGGGAGCTGTGGTTGGTTAATCAGGGCTTAAAGGACACCATCAGGTTAAGCGTGTTTCAAACACGGTGATTTTTAGAGATGATATGTTTGGTTTTTTTCCCAGGTGGTGCTGCTTTCTTTGCTTTCTTCCTTGTTTTTTTTTCTTCTAACTCACTCATTTCTCTCATCAGTTTTCTCTCATAATTTCACGTTTATTTTTTACACAAACATTTTTTTTTACTCAATGGGGTGGCATGGTATAAAAAAGTTGCACATTTTAAAAAAAAGATTTTGTTTAGGCTCTGTTTTTTTTTCTTGGGGGGGTGTCTGTTTATGCAGCAGAACCAGTCCTCATCCTGTTACTAACCCCGTTTATCTTAACAGCCTGTGAGATGCTGTGGTGTTTTGTAACTCAGTAAATCCTTTATTCAGATCACGTTTTAATCGTGTTATCATCTTATGGTATGATGCATTCTTCCTGTGATGCTACTTAAAGTAGAGGAGACTTAGTCTAAGACTAACACCTTTACGACTTTGTTTCACTTTAAAATTCCTAAAAAATATCTCCAAGACTTAGACTTAGGGGTTCCCTGTGGAGTTTGAGATGTCTTTTCGCTCTTTAGTTTGTCTTGTGCACTCATGTCTTTGTGGAAATCGACCAACGACGGATGGTCAGAGAGAAAACAGGATGAGTCAAAGCTGAAATAATTCACGCTATTTATTTTGAACCTCAGGTATTACACAATTGATGTTTCTGGTTACTTGATGAGGAAGGAAACCTTCAGACACTGTGTATTCTAAAAGTGGACATTTGTTGATTGAGCAAAAGAACTCCACAGGCTCCTCTGCTGCTGTTGTATATGATAGGTGACAGAGTTCTGCATGCTGGGGACTAGTTGAATGGAAACTGAACCTCTGCCAGCTTTACTTGCTGTCTCTCTCTCCAAGTCTCGACTCTGATGGCTGATTTAGCTTGTTTTGATTTGAAGAAAAAAAAGATAAATCACTCAGAGGAGTGGAGTGTTTTCTCAGCAGTAGGAATGAAAGTCATTCACAGAGGCTGGTCTCTGCACAGCATGCTCTCCTGCATCATCACCCTCTGGTGGAACCCACTATTTCTCTCATCCGCCCCAAACCGGGAGTCTCACTGTGTAGCTGTTTCTCATTTTTCTCTCCGTGCTCTCTTCTCCCTCTCTCACCCCTAGGTTACTGGAGCACCAGCTGCAGACTCAGCGGAGAACCTACGACAGCGAGGTGGAGTCTCTGCGAGGCGAGCTGCAGAACGTCAAGGAGGACAACAACCGACAGCAGCAGCTTCTGGCCCAAAACCTCCAGCTACCTCCGGAGGCCCGTATCGAAGCCAGTCTGCAGCATGAGATCACCCGGCTCACCAATGAGAACCTGGTATGCTGCAGCGCGCCCACACAGATGCATAACGGCTTAAGTTAAGGTGGTCTGATGTATGTTCACAAAAGGTGGGGAAAGAGACTTGAAGAAGGCCAAACACTAAAAGTCAGATCGGCTTAGAATCAAACGTATGGGTGTATTTTGGTTTATGTGCTACATCCCCCCCATCACCATCACATGACATGGTCACAGACATCGGATGGCAAATAGGCCGATTTCACTAAACATAAATGTGTTTTTTAAAGTTATTTATTATCGTCAGAGGCATGGCAATGCTTTGATATTGTTTGTAGCCAACTATTAAAGCAGCAAAGTCAGGGGAATGTTAGTACAGCGGCCTCCATTGACCATGACCTAATATAGAAACCATTTGTGCTGATAAGGAGCAATGGCTGTTAACGTCTATACAGAGACGGAATGTAAGAAAAATAAATAAATAAAAGGGAACAGACGTGTGGATTCGGTCGCCACACACGTTAAAAGTGAAGCAGCCCACACAACGCTCACTGTGTGGATGGTGTCACCTGACAGGACCTCATGGCTGCCGACCCCACAGCATCCAGGGAGGCCCGAGTCATCATTTTACGACGGATGGTTGTATGTAGAGAAGGCGTGTTCTGGCCGGCATGCTTGTGTGTGTGTTTGCACGTTAGCGAGAACTAACTGCGGTCCGGACTCTCTACGTCAGCTCTAACTCACAGCAAAGCAGCTCTGCCCCTCTCTCTGTTCTCTAACAGCCAGCAAGTCCTGCAGCCTTTCTACCTCTGAAAAAAAAAAAAAACAGCCAGCTCTGCAGCACTAATGCTGGCTCTTCTGCGTTTGTGTCCTTTTCAAACATGGCACTTTAAAGGCTTCTCTAGATTCCTTGCTTTTGCCACAAGAGGGCAACAGTGTAACACAAACAGTTTCAGACAAGGTTTTGGTTCACTGTTCTCCTGTGTTCCTGATGTCGGTTTTTAGGATCTCATGGAGCAGCTGGAGAAGCAGGACCGAACCATCCGCAAGCTCAAGAAACAGCTGAAGGTTTATTCCAAGAGGATCGGAGAGATGGGAGGTACAGGTGACCAATCATTATTCGGGTTAAGTGTTTGGGCTTAAAAGTGATACCTGCTTGGCACTCTGCGTTATTATCTGATGGTGTCATGAAAACGTGTCTCTCAGCGGGTCAAACCGAGGGTCAGACATCTCCGGGACAGATGGTAGACGAGCCCATGCACCCTGTCAACATACCCCGCCGCGAAAAAGACTTCCAAGGAATGCTGGAGTACAAGAAGGAGGATGAAATGAAACTGGTTAAGAATCTCATCCTCGGTAAGAAATCTCTGTGAGCAGCTGGTGAGGTTCTGTGTTAATAAACCAAGTTCTATGGAGTTTTGCTGGAAGCCCTCTCTGTTGCACTAGTAGTCTTAAATCCACAATTCCTATATTTGCTTAGGCAGCTGAGACCATCTCTAGCCAAGCTTCAAATAAAAGGTTCACCTATAGTTTTTGATTTAAAGAGTGAAAATTAGTTCCTCTGTGCCTCCAGAGCTGAAGCCTCGTGGTGTGGCGGTGAATCTGATCCCCGGTCTGCCGGCCTACATTCTGTTCATGTGTCTGAGACACGCAGACTATGTCAACGATGACCAGAAGGTCCGCACGCTGCTCACATCAACCATCAACAGCATAAAGAAGATCCTGAAGGTACGTCTGCGGGATATTTGATGAATGTCTGAAAGAACAGCATGCATTTGATTTCCGTCAGACTGGAATATGACATCGGAATTCTGGATAAACTAGTGGTGGGAAGGAAAAAAAAAGTTTCAATGAGCTGCTGCTTGTTTTGAATTGATATTGTTGTGTCCTCTCTTAGAAACGGGGAGACGACTTTGAGACCGTGTCTTTCTGGCTGTCCAACACCTGCCGCTTTTTGCACTGTTTGAAACAATACAGCGGAGATGAGGTGACAACAGCATGAAAACACACAAAACACATTAATGTCCAGATCTACTTGTGAATGTGGTTTGTTCTTATGGTTATATTGATTATCCAAACAGCAGTCTTCTGAAGTGTGTTGGGGTCTTTCTATTTTGTGCCATGACAACCTGAAATCTGATCGGTTTGTGTTTTGTTATGGATTTGAAAAATTCTTTTGGGATTCTCGCGGCCAACCATGGTCAGGCCCTTCAAAAGAAGCCAGACCCTGTAGCTGGCACTACAGCTTAGAGCCACAGAGACATTTTTTATTTGTCTTGTTTGTAACTCAACTTTTTCCCGTGTGTGTGTGTCAGGCCTTTATGAAGCACAACACAACTCGACAGAACGAGCACTCTCTGAACAACTTCGACCTTGCTGAATATAGACAAGTGATCAGTGACCTGGCCATACAGATCTACCAACAGCTGATCAAATGCATGGAGAACATCCTCCAGCCCATGATAGGTGGGTGCATGCCCATTACAGACTAACCACACTGACAGTGTTTCTCGAAGAAGAGCTTTTTATCTCCCTGCCTACAGACACATTTGTGCTTCGAACAGCTGCTAATTGTGTGCGTGTTCCTGGCAGTGTCCGGCATGCTGGAGCACGAAACCATCCAGGGCGTGTCAGGGGTGAAGCCCACAGGCCTCCGGAAGCGCACCTCCAGCATCGCTGACGAGGGCACCTACACCCTGGACTCCATCCTGCGGCAGCTCAGCGCCTTCCACTCCACCATGTGCCAGCACGGCACCGACCCCGAGCTCATCAAGCAGGTGGTGAAGCAGCAGTTCTACATCATCGGAGCCGTCACGCTCAACAACCTGCTGCTCCGCAAGGACATGTGTTCCTGGAGCAAAGGCATGCAGATCAGGTGAGAGGCCATTCCTCCAGAGTGAGACCACTCCGCTCCATGGGGGTTCCCTTTTTTTCTCTCGTCGGCTAACTGATGGCGCCCGTGCAGGTACAACGTGAGCCAGCTGGAGGAGTGGCTCAGAGACAAAGGCCTGATGACATGCGGAGCCAAAGAGACACTGGAGCCTTTGATTCAAGCCGCTCAGCTGCTGCAGGTGAAGAAAAAGACAGACGAGGACGCAGAGGCCATCTGCTCCATGTGCCTGGCCCTCACCACAGCTCAGGTAAAACATTTACCACTCTGCGTTTAAGCCCGAACCTTCAAGCCAATATTTTTATTTTGTACATTCTCACATTCTCCCTTTCAGATCGTAAAGGTTCTGAACCTCTACACTCCTGTCAACGAGTTTGAGGAAAGAGTGTCAGTCGCTTTCATACGAACCATACAGGTAATTTCTTTGTCTTTTAAACATATCAGTTATTTATATTATGCTTAAATGATCATTTAAGAATCTAAATGCTCCTCCAAACCACCTACAAATTATTGGATTTATGATCATTTTCCACCCTTCAGTTTTCAGTGGCACTTGATGATTTGACCTGTAAAAAATCCGTTGTGAGCCTTTTTGTACGTAGGTGTCCATTAAATGACACTACTGCATGTTCCAGCAGGCCTTTACAGCTGATCTGTTATACAGTAATGATGTACTTATAACAGTTTAAAGGGGTTTGATTGAATACATTTATGACTCAATCTCTCTGCAGTGGCTTATAACCTTAAGTCACAATCATAACAAAACGAGAGTGCGTTTAAAGTGACTTTATAGCGTTGTGAAAAAGATATTGATAGAGGTGGAACACGTTTATGCTTTGTTGTGTCTTCAGTTTTCAGTTTCAACCTGAAGTACCCGGTGAATTTATGATAAATACAGAGTTAACTCATAGATGATTGTTTTCTCTTTATTTTTGTTACCCTCCAATATCTTTGGTACTTTTTGGTTTCACAGACACTCCATAACAACACCCAAATACTGAGAAATATTACTGCCTGACTTACAGAGAAATCTAACCACAGATTTCCTCTAGAAATGAAACTGCCCCATTTATATAACAGACATATATGTAGTTCCATCTGGTTTCTCTCTACTTTCAGACTCGCTTGCGAGACCGTTGTGAGACTCCCCAGTTGCTAATGGACACAAAGATGATATACCCGGTCACCTTCCCGTTTAACCCCTCCACCTTGGCCCTGGAAACCATCCAGATCCCCAGCTCGCTTAACCTGGGCTTCCTCACCCGTGTCTAACCCAGTCCTGCAGGACCGCCCTGAGCACTACAGCAGCCACCGCTGGAAATGCAAGCCACATGACATCCACCGCATTCAGACACTCTGAAATCAGATGTAGATTACACGATTTGAACATCCCTGTCCAGTCTATTTGCTGACATGTTCACACACAAAATGCAGCTCTGAACATTCATTCCATCGAAAACTCTCGCATGCACTTTCTCTCCTTCAAAAGATTAGACACACACAGCACCAAAAACCGCTGCCACAGGTTTAAATCTTGCCTCAAGGCACCGGCTGCCATCCTCTGCTTGTATAAACGCTCTCCACTTAGAGAAGCCACAGGTCCAGATCACCACCTGCGGGGCTGGCTCTCCATCAGCAGCCGGTCTCCGCCTCAGTGGTCCCGACCGCCCTCACCCCTCATCCTTTCTCTGTGTTTCCAGCAAAGGTCAAAGGTAGCTGTCATTGTCGTCTCCACTGAACATGCACACACACTGACATGGGGCAAGTTAACCTCACAAAAGGAGTCATTTGGTCAGCAGCACTCTGAAATGAGTTTGGAGTGTGAATACAGCTGAGAGATAATGAGCAAATGTTAGCCCCACCCCCCAAAAAAAAACATCCATTAACCGCTTAACAGGTGGCATCCTGTATGTTGTCATTTCAACCTCTGATTATGGTCAAGCCAGGACAAAAGTCACCATCTGTACTATATTATTTATACATAGATAAATCTATATAGATATGAATAATATATAGCCTGTACTTAATTTATTGCAGTTAGTTCCGCTCCCATCCTCGATTTTAAGATTAGAAGCTTGCTCATTGCAGAGTGAAGGATGGGACCACCACATCTCGCTATTAACAGCTTTGTGTAAAGTATTAGTTGCACTGTAGTCTATTTTATGTAGTCTATTTAAGATATATGGTAGAGTTTGATGGCTTCCAGCACATGATGTTTTGCCAAGTCACGTCTTAAGCGTAAGAGAGGTCACTCCGTCACGCATTCCTGGCAGATGAAGTGTAGCGTGGGATTTTCTTTTCTTTCTTTTTTTTTTTAACATACGAGGTCTAAACTCTCTGGGTGACCTTTACCGTTTACAGCTGTTAGCAGAACCGGAAGGAAACACAGAGAAATCTACTCGTCCATGAACACTGCGGTGCAAACACCGATCATGTGCACAGTTTAACGCTCTGCTTGCTCCTCTCTCTGCTTTTCCTCTGCTCAGAGCCTTGGAAAAACGTGTCATCGTTGTCATCGTGGGATTATTTATCTCTGTTTTGTTTTGTTTTCTGTTTTTTAAACTTATGTTTGTAGTAAATCCATGTTTCACAGAGCAGAATGGATGGGGAAAGATATCTTTGGAAGTCAGATGTATTCATTTTGTCCGCTGTTTACCCAAACTGATGCTAACAGCAGCCCCTCGCCTTCCTGTTAGGTGGCACAAAGTGGACTATTGTTACCGAAACCCAACAAGTCTGCGTGGAAAACATTTTTTCTAATAAATTTTCATTTGTTCATGGTAGATTTGTTTCTTGCACATTTTGTTTTTTTTCTGACATCAGCCACTTGCTTTAGAGCATGCCACAGTGATACAGAGGTATTAATTGTAGAGCATACGCTGCTGCTGCTGCTGTCCTTCCTTAAGCTGCATGGACTGAGCTGTACAAGCGCCACCAGCCACAGAACCAGTCTGCATGTCACCATTTTTAAAGAAAGAGACGCCCCAGTGGAGTCCAGCTGTGTGACAAGTTAGTAGTAATGCTCCCAAGTTGTCACAGAGACATTTTTGTCTTCATTAAAGTCCCTGCTGCCCTCTGTTCAGCACCGTTTTCTTGACTTCCTGTTTTGCCATTAGTATTAACAGTAAGATTTGTGAACCGTCTTTAGCTCAGCGACCTAACTTTTAGAGTCATTCTTCTTCTTAATATTATTCTCATGTGCTACTCCAATCTGAAGGAAAATTTCCTGTGTGGACGGTCATCAGAACTGGTCTTTATTTTTAGAAAGTTTTTCCTGGGAGAATTAAGAAAAAAAAAGTTTGAGGACACAGAATATCTTTGCTGTGACATGAGCCATTTAATATCAACACAGAGAGCAAGGCGATGGAGGGAAAAAGACACATCACAGAGAAATATCTCATTAAATGCTGTACTCTCTCTCAGAGTTCAAATGATATGGTGGGAAAATATTCTGGGACGCTTTTATCATCCCCATGAGCTGACTGGGACCATTTTATCAATCAGCCTTCTTTTCCTTGTTCTCTTGGATCTGTATGTAACGTACAAACAACAAATCTTATGTAAAGACAACATATCTGGAAGGATGGTAGAGGAAGGAGTCCGCCAACCACATGAATGTTTTTAAGGTAATCAAGTGTTTTCATGATTTCAGCTGCACATTGTAGACAAAGCCTTACCTGAATTACTTGCTACGTGAATGACATATATCATGGACTTTGTGGCATTGTTGTTTGCTGTAAGTGCAGTATTCTTCTTCTTCTTCGCTTTTTTTTCCTCTGTAGGAAGTGTAGATGTTTGTTTGAACGTGACCATTTTGTTTTGATGATGTGCTCTCTGGTCCAACAGCTGGTGTCACAGATGGGTTGCACTGTTTATCCGTCAGCCAGAATGCATTTCTCTGTCACACCACAGAGGAACGTTGATAAAAATAGATGGATATGGACTCTGCACTATTTCTTTTCGTTTTGTTTCGTTTCAAATGATTGTTTTCTTTTGATTTCTGCCAGGTTTTGACACAACTGTGGCCTGTAAAAGCTTCCTCTTTGCACGCTCCCTGTTTGACTGGATGATTCTGTTTCTTCAGCCCTTTCATTAACTCAACCAATTACATAAAGCCACAGGTGACAGATGCAGCTCAGGCTGAGTTGAGAGATGGCAATGGGAAAGCTGGCCTGGTTTCAGAGGAGGGGAAAACATGTATTCATCTCTCGGTTTGTATTCTTCAGCGGAGACAGTGTGGCGTTTCTATTTTCCCGGCTTCTTGTGAGAAAATGTCATTGCTTCTCTCATTTTCCTCTAGCTTTTTTGTCCACATGAAGGAGAGAGTCAATTGTAAGATATGGCATAGCCATTATAAATGACCATTGTTCTTATCTGCACTAGGATTATCCATGCCATTTTAAAACTAGTTGAAAACAGAAATATGTGACGGCCCCGGCTGTCTTGGTACTGGTGTAAACATGCCAGGATCAGATGTTTTCCCCCAAATCCATGTGTACATTTGACAAACTGGACTGTTTGTAGTTTCTGGTAGCTGTGCTTCGTGAATGTGTTCACCGTTTAAGAAACTTGGAACAAATTGTCAAACCTGTAAAAGTAAAATAAAAGAGTTCAGCACTGTCCGATTGTCAGTGAGAGAGCTGTTGTGTTGTGTTGTTTCCTTAAAAATTAGACCCTCTTTAACGTACATACATATTTGTCCTTTAAGTCACATCAGAGGATCTAAATCCTTCTCTAAAACCACATTTAATGAAATAACAGGTGTAATAATAATGTAAATCTATAAGGAGGTCAAATGAGCACATGGGTGCATTTTCATACTAATTGTTTAAAGCCTTCTGATGACTTTCTTAATATTTTTTTGGAAGGGAAATTAAATGATGCAGAACAGTGTGATGGACAAGGCTCTACTGACAATAAAGTCACCTGTTCACACAATAGAAGTGACACTTGCAGGGGATGCAGCAGAAAGGTATGAGGTGTGGAGGTAAAATCAGAGCATAGTCACAGCTTAAACACTTTACTAAGAGGCTTACGGAACCCTCTCTGTCCCTGACTGACAATCCTCCTCACTGGAACAACTCCACTTCCAACTCCAGCGACAGGTGCCTGTGCTGAAAGAGGCCAAAAACATTCATTTGTGAGGTAAGATTAAGTTATTTAGTTGTTTTGGATCAATTCCAAGATCTATTTAAAATTCTGCTCTATGCGGTTTGTAGAACTGAATCTGTTGTAATGGAATTCCTTTAATTTGTTATGTAGTTGTCTGATTCTAGGCAATACTCTTTGTACTAAGTTGTTTATTTAAGGGTACAAGTATTCTCTTATCAGAGGGATTTCAGGGTGACTGTAGGCTGAGAATCTCGAATGAAAATGTCGGCTATGATTTTTGTGTGAAGAAAACAGCAGCCCGGTAAATTAGCCGTTTTAGGTCAAGTATCTCCAAATCATGAAAATGTTCGGTGTGGTAAGTTAGGCCAAAGCAGTTCAAAACACTGATGTTGTTTTCATTTTCTCTGGCCTCCAGCTGATATGTTTGCCACTAACATGTAAAAGCTTTCTAATCATTTAACTAAAACCACGAAACAAATGAAAGTTTGAAACAAAAACAAGTTTGTGCTTCAGTTAAATGTTTCATTTCATCATGCATTCATGCATATCGGGCACTGCACAGTCGCTGTGTACTGAATGTGAGCGGTTCCCAGAATAGCTGCTCTACTCTGCTCTGGAGCTTTGAGAAGGATCAGACTGCAGTAGATTACCAACTACTTATCCCCTGTGCTGCCCCCACCAACATCGACACACACAAACTAAGACTCTGAGCACAGAAGTAAAAGGGCAATTTTAAAAAACTGATTAAAGAGAAACCACAAGAAAAAAAGTACCCGCACCAGAGTTCATTCTGTTTTTGTTTTTTTTCTCTGTCTTGGTTCCAGAAGAGTTGGTGATCCTCTGCAGCCATGTGTGACCAGACGTTCATGGCGGCCACTTTTGGCCCCTGTGACAGTTGTAGCAAAGCAAGTCCTCTGATGAACATCTACATCAAGAGCGAAGCCACCAACTACTGTTCCTTCTGCATGGAAGTGGTATGAAATGTCCTCCGTCTGCTGTCATCGCTAAGAAAAATGCTTTTGATTTAGACTCTTCAGACATCTTTAAACCTCAGGTTGTAGAGCCGTCCCTTGAACAAGATGAGAACCCATCACCCAGCAACACCTTTTGACACACAGCTAGGTTAAGGTGTCATATACATGCACAGAGGTAATGAGGGCCACAAGGCTCCCCCTAACTTCTCAGCTTACTCTGCTCCATTGTGTGCAGCGTTATCAGCACACAGGAGTCATTTAAACATGCTATTCTCATGTGCCTGGATGAGAAAGCTCCTATGTAACTCGTTGCCTGAGGCTGATCAGTTTTTTTTAGGAGTGTTGTCTCTTTAATGAAAACTTAAAGAAAAGATATGTATGCTGTAAATTCAGCATAATATTTCCAGCACCAACGTAAGAGATTAACTCATTTCAGTCCTCTCATTTTAGCCAGCATTATCATTTAATAATATGCTTTGATTAACTAAGTCAGTTGTGCTGTGGTTATTAACCCTATAATTCCATTTGTATCATATTTGATGCATATGGTTTCTGACTCATTTTTCATCTGAGACCTTTTACATCATTCAATGGTAAAAAAAAAAAAAAACTGTTGTGCTCCATCAGATCTACCTGATAACAAAAGGCAGAAGACTAAGCAACCATCATCTTCAATAATCGCACAGTAATAAATGATAAAAATTAAAAACTGATTTGTGTCTTTTTATATACTTTGTTAAAAGGACAAATAAAGACTGCAGACTATAAACAGATAACCCATTTTTTTCTTGGATCAGGCTTTAAAGAGTTAACAGCTTTACCCTCATAACAGCTTTCTGGAAACTTTCACTTTCTTCCAGCAGGGAAATACCCAAAACAGAAGAATGCTTCCTTGTGGAAAAATGGCTTTTTATTTCAGCTTGTAATTAATGTTTTAACTTGCTTTGGCTGTAAATGCATGGAAGAGTTTCTGCTTTTGCTTATATTTACTGGATGCTGGAAGCAGGGGTTTGGAAATGCAGCAGCAGGAGCCCCGGGCTGTTTCTGTAGTCCCGGTATCTGCAGCAGAATGGGAGCATGGGAAGAGGGGAAAAAGCTAATTTAGCCCTTGGTCCAGTGCACTGAATTGGTCGCGAGCCCTCTGTGTGTGTGGGGGGGTGGGGGGGGAGTGCGCGAGCGCAGAGCGGAGGCTCGCGCAGCATCACCGTCGAGCTCGAGGAAAACTTCAGCGAACCTCCCCAGCTGTCCTCCTATTTTTGTTTTTGTGCCGTGTCCCCACTTCTCTCTCTTTTTGTCCCCGTGCTCCGGAAAGATGGCGTGTCAGGGGCTCACGAAAGGGGAAAGTCTGGCGTCGCTGAAGAAGGAGAGCGATTCTCTGAAGAAGAAGCTGGAGGAGGAGCGGGGGAAGCTCAACGACGTGGAGCGTAAGTGGCTGCATGCATCCAGAAACACACCAACGACCACACAGCTTCTTTCCCACGGTCCTGCGGGTCCGCGGGGGTCAGAGAGTGGCCGGTTGGGCTTCACTCTTCACTTACTGTTAAGGGGTTTTTAGTGAAGGTAGTCAAACTGACCCCCACACTG